TGAGATAATTTCTTTTTTTTAGAGTAATATTCCTTTTTTTCAAGGCTACTATTCACAGTACACAGAAGGATAACTTCCACCTTTATTTTGTAGTCATATCTTTTTCACAGACATACAGAGCAGAGGGGGTTCTGTAAATCTGAAGGGTTTCTTAGTGAGATCTCTAGAGCTAGGTGATCTATTCACAATTTGCTGAATTATGCCTTTTTTTCTGGTAAGGAATGCTTACTGAAACACAAACTGTCATCCAGTCAACTCAGAAGCAATGAGTTAGAGAAGGACACAAACTTTCATTTGAGTTCATTCCCTTCCCATTAGTCCTTTCCTCCTGTAAAGGGATCAGAATTTACCTTGTGTAGTTCCACTGGGGGGAATAGAAGAGCAGGTGTGCCCACACTGGGGTTTTGTTTCTCCATTGCCAGAGATCCCCAAGAGACTTGACCAGCACATCTGTGAGTGCAGCCCAGCCTGCAATAATTCAGCACACAAGATGTCCCATTGGGCTTACTGCAACTGGAGAATAGAAATGCCCCATTAACTCAGAGCAAATTCTGAGTGCAGTGAGAGACAATCAGTTACTGAAATCTTTCTTCATTGTTTTGCAACCCAGAAATACTGCAGAACTCACAACCTCAGTGCTGCCATTTTCAGATTTGAAAGTGAAGAGAAGGAAGATGCTTGCAAGGGAGTTCCCATAAAAAGGACAATAAGATGTAGACATGTTTGTCATTTTTTTCTTTCAAGTTAAAAGGTATATGCTGAAGACATCATATACTTATACATGTACATGTAGATATACATATGCATATGTATATGCATATACATGTACATATCTGTTTAGATATAGATATATAAAAATATCTAACTGAGGGCAAGGAAGGAAAAGAAATAGAAGAAGTATGTAGGCATCTTTTCCAGGATCCTGCTAATTACCCTTGCCACAAACTCAGTTTATTTCTTGTGAGGCAATCTCTATGGCTCTGCTGGAAATTACATTACTAGATAATGTGTTTAAAGGGGCTTTTAGTAAAATATGTAAGGAACTCAGGTAGAGAATATGTAGAAAAATTGATAGACCTGTAGTTTTCTTCATAAACAAACCCCTAAATAAGTAGCCACATATATTTTGTTTATTACAGCTTTCATACATACAGATAACTTTCCTCATTCTTGGTGTGAAACTTAAGCAAGGGTGTGTATTCTTTGAACATAACTCTAAGACTGAATGCTGATAGGCTCTTCTTGCCCCTAGCAATTAGTAATAATGATAGCTCTTGTACTTGTAAGTCCTCTAGAGTTGTAACACCAATCTTACTTCCTGCCCTTCCCTTCCTGGAACATGGGAAGGAAACACTGCAGGATGGGGTGATGTCACTTCACCATGCCTTGACAGTTCAGATGAGGCAGTCCAGAGAGATGCCAGCAGAGATGTGAGATGCCAGGACGAGTAGTGGGTGAGAGCTGGTGCAGGAAAAGTGCCATCTTGCAGAACTAGAGTCCAGCAACTGTGCCTGACTTTTCAAGTGTATCGATCCTCATGCTTTTGTTTCTGCAGTGTTGTTGTTCCTTGTTTCCCCAGCTGAAGAATATGAGTACTGTGTACTGACGTTATCTTCTGTTACTTCCAACAAGTTCTTCACCTTCTTATTTAACTTATGTCTTCTTTCCAAGCGAGAATATCCAGGTTTCGGTTGGATCTATTTTAAGGTGAATTAATTAACCAGCATAATAATACATTCCTGCTTTTACCTATTTAATTTGTTTTAGTCTAACCTAATTCTAAAGTACATTTAACAGTGTCAGTAATAAGCATTTCTTCTCCCACCATCCTTATTTTCATTGCAGGGGAACTTACCTCCTGATTATCGGATAAGTCTGATTGACATTGGGTTGGTGATAGAGTACCTGATGGGAGGAGCGTATCGCTGCAATTATACCCGAAAGCGGTTCAGAACTCTGTACCACAATTTGTTTGGGCCTAAGAGGGTAAGAAACAAGTTGTTTGCCATCCTCATGACTGTACCAGCTGGCAGGGGTTCCCATAGCTTCTTACCTGGTTCCAGACTGGTGGGGTCCAGTGCACACACTATTCATTCTACAGGTTCATTTCCACTGTGTGCATTGCAGTTAACTCAACATAATGCATGACAAACCAGACATTGATACAAGCTATGGTTTTCATTAAGTTAATGAGAAAATTATTACATTCTGCTGCCCTGCTGAAACCAGCACATACAACAGTCTAGTCTGACTCTAAAACCTGTAATTATGAGTATTCACAGCTTTTAAAAGACATGTCTTTTGACCCACACCAATAATACTATAATTCTAACTCCTGAGTTTGATTTGAAAATTTCTGTGCTGTTAGATGCATTTCCTATCTCATGGCTTATCTCCTGATAGTGATTTGAAGGTTTCGGGGCAAAGAAACCCATAACTCAAAACTTGTTTTATTTTTTGGGTGTGGCTCCAGCAGTCATTCGATTCATGGCAATACCACTGTTAAGTATTTTTGTGAGTTCCATGTTTGATAGGTGATGCCACTGTGAATAGAAATTAAGGTCTTTATAAAACACAAAAGCTGTTTATTGTCATTCATATTGCCATTGACCCAATCCAGCATGAACAGGATTCTGTTCAGCTCCTCCCAGTAAGATCTGTAAGTTCCTTTTTTGCCTCACATTTCAGATTTTAGCAATATGCAGCACTGAAAGTATTAATAAGTGGCTATCAATACCAACAGCTCTGTGAAACGCTTGCAGACAACTACCTAAAATGGGTTTATTTGTTTCCTTACGCTTTTCCTTATGACTCTTCACATTTGAAAGGAAAGACAGTGATTATACCTGGTGGGCGAGACTTCCTTCCCATAGTCACTCCATTGAGAAAAAACATTTGAGCAGTGATTTCACTGATATTGAACACAGAGCAGTTCCACAAAAGTCAATAAAAGTGTTCCAGGGCAGTGAGAAAAACACTGATGTACTCCAGAGAAATCCATTCTTGCCTTATCAGTGGTCCCTATCACTTTCTTGCTAGAACAGCCCTATCCAGGTGTAATTTATACCTGAATCCAAATATATGTCTTCTGTCATGGTTTTGGTGAAATAGTGTCAAATTCAAGTTGGGAATAACTACATATATGTAATTATTTGACTGGTGTGTATGTGTATATATACATACTATTACATTATATTACATGATATAAATATTATCTATATTTTATTGTATATTCTACATCACTCTGCATGCACATGTACATATGTATATATGTATACACAAATAGCTGTAGTTTCTCTTCACTGTTCTGTGAGAAATAACATTTTTCTAACTTTTTTTTTGCACAGCCAAAAGCCCTGAAGCTGTTGGGAATGGAGGTAGGCAACCTGTGATGCATCTTAATGTCTTTTCCTTCTTTGACAAATAGAAACTATATCCAGACAATGTTTAAATTCACTGTAATGAAAGCATGAATAGTATTTTTCATCCAGATAACTTGTTTACACAGGGGGGCAGGTCAAGAAACATTTCTTAATAAAACTCCAGGAGGTAGCTAAGGAAAAAGAGGGCTCTGCCCCAACTATGGATCTTTTTGGTTTTTTGTTTAATAATAATTAAATAAAATGTTTGAGTGTGGCAGGGGAGGCAGAATTTCAGTCAGATAGCATCTAACTTCAAAATATGTTCAGAGAAATGAAACACTTGCAGAGAATGATGCAGAAATCATTATACAGGCCAAAGTCATCTCAGTTTTATTGGAGCTTTTGGCTACCCCAATGCTTCAAGGGGGTAGTAGTATTTTCATGTTTCTTTGTTTTATACAAGCACTTTTTCCATCCATAGACACAGGACAATAGGTCAGCTCATCTGATAAAAGCAAAAGGCTAAAGTGGGAAAGAAACTAAAGGCAACAGGAGCAACAAAGGGATGGAGAAAAAGGAATAAACACACAGGATAGGAGTAAAGAAGGAGGATTGCTACCTTTGTAAGGAGATAAAGGGAGAAAACACAAGAATAAGCATAGAAGGAGTCTTCAGCAGATCAGAAAATTCCCTGGATATGTACCTTCTGGAGGGGGAAAGAGGCAGATGCATTACAGCAGATGTTACATTTGCAGTGAGCACTTAGCTTTATTTTATTTTATTGGTGGTTTTTCCAAAATGGTTCTGGATATTGTATGATATTGTACTCTCTGTTCTTAGTGAGAAAGAGTGATTCAGAGTGACTGTTTAGTATCTTCTTAATTACAGTGCACACACCAATACCTTTTTTATTGTTTACCTATGTTAAATATTTTGTCCAAAAAATGATGAATGGAGTGGCCTGCCGAAAATGCGTTTGACATCTTAGGTATTGATTTCAATGAATTATGTGAATTGATTCAGTTCCTTCACTGATGAAAAAAATTTCTCTACAATTCTCATAGGATGATGTCCCTTTGCGTCGAGGCAGAAAACCAACAAAGAAGAAAGAAGAAGAAGTTGATATTGATATGGATGACCCTGAGATCAATCACTTTCCCTTCCCATTCCATGAGCTGATGGTGTGGGCTGTGCTGATGAAACGTCAGAAGATGGCCCTCTTCTTTTGGCAGCATGGGGAAGAGGCTATGGCTAAAGCACTGGTGGCCTGCAAACTCTGCAAAGCCATGGCCCATGAAGCATCAGAAAATGACATGGTGGATGACATATCCCAAGAGCTGAACCACAATTCTAGGTGAATTTCATTTCATGTACACTTTCCTGAGGGAGAAAAGAAAAGGAAAAAAAATAAAAAATAAAAAAGGGTTGGGGAGAACATGCCTAAAATTTTCTTATCTCTACCTTGCTTTCATTTCTAACTTGCAGGGGAAGTGCAGTCCCTTTAGAGAAAATCTAAATGGCTTTTAAGCCATCTGTCTCCCACAGTACCAAAGTTGTCAGCAATGTAACTTCTGAAATGAGAAGATGTCAAGAAGAGAGTGAAATATCTGTATTGTCTATGTATTTCTCCCTGAGGCCTCAGGAGTCAGACTGCAACATTTCTCTGTGCTTTTTCAGGATACTCTGTACATTCCCAGCAGAACAGTTATTGAAATCCCCATCAGCATCGTATTCAGGCAGAAGTGTTAATTAACCAAGAGGTCAATTATGATTAGATGAGCAAGGCAAGATACTAGATTCCATAAGAACCTTTCCTGATGTTAAAATTTCAGAAATACAGGATTTTAGAAAGGATCATGGACACTTATTCTAGGAAGCTTGACCATGAAGCCATGGGCAAACAACAGAGAAGCAATCCCTTAAACTACAGATAACCAGAGGATTTCAGTTAGAAAATGTCAGGGAGGTGGGCAGGGAGGTGGGAGCAGACAGCTGGTATGTGTGGGTGCTCATCACTGCTAAGCTGGGGCACTTATTTATATGCCTAACATTAGCCACTCACATTTGAAAATGTGGGTTTCCATGTAGAGTCAACATCACGATTTGCATGATGGAAGGTGGTGTGCCCCTTGCAGAGGCTGGCAGTTGCAGAGAGGTGTTTTGAGCACAAGACTGAGTGTGCTACCAGGAGTGAACGGGTGTCCCTCTGTTGCAGGGACTTCGGCCAGCTGGCGGTCGAGCTGTTGGACCAGTCATACAAGCAGGACGAGCAACTGGCCATGAAACTGCTGACCTATGAGCTGAAGAACTGGAGCAACGCCACGTGCCTGCAGCTTGCAGTGGCAGCCAAGCACAGGGACTTCATCGCCCACACTTGCAGCCAGATGCTGCTCACTGACATGTGGATGGGTCGTCTCCGGATGCGAAAAAATTCTGGCCTAAAGGTCATTCCTGTTTTAAAATAAAATTAGCATTCAGGGAATTCTAATAGATGGTGACAGGGTTCACAATAAATCAGTAATAAGTGTCTAAAGTAATTGTACTTCAGATGTCTATTTGCAGTTACATTAAGCAGGGTATATTCTTCCTGTACTGAGTTTTCCAGCTGGGGCTTATCATAAGCCAAGGTTCAAAGCACACAGCTTAGATTTTTTTCATTCCCGTTCTTAAAGTCCCCTCTGGCATCATTTATCAGAATAAGAATTGAGCTAGGAGGTTAGTGTGTCACCTTGCCTGTATACTTGATGAGTTAGTCAAGAGTTTTAAAGATAAATAAAGGAAAAGGAAGAAGTGAGTTAACTGTTAGTGAAAGGTGCTGATCTGACAGCCTTCCCCAAAACAGGCAAAGTAAGCAGCACAAATTCCCTTGCAAACTCTTGCAAGTCTTCCTGATGGCCTCTGAAGAAACTCCTTTAGAGGGTCTAAAGGATAATTCGGTTTTCAAAGCTGTTAAAGCTTTACTTCCACAATTGACAAAACTGCTAACAGTGGAAAGTGGACTCTGAGATGAATTTGAGTCCATGGCATGTTTCACCAAAGCAGTCACCAGTCAGAACATACCCAGGAATTGCCTCTTCCTCCCAGATCACCAAGAAATATTTTCAGTAAAGAGGTTCTCTCTACTGCACTAAATGCCTGTGTGAAAATTGGTAATTACTCAGATGTGTTGCCATGTGAAAATATGTTCAGTAATGGCAAGAATGCTTAGGAGTACATGCATTGCTTCCAGACTGGCTCTTAATCCAGTGGCAGTGGTGAATGAGAACAAGTGGCTGATAGCATTCTTATGCAGGACCTGTGCATACATGTTGTCCTGCTATAGATAGAAAACATTCTCACATCTGGAGACACTCCTATCACCTATTTCCAGAACTCACAGGCCTATTACCCATCAGAGGAACAGCTGCTTTGTTCACTGTTTGTCTTTGCAGATATTCAACCTAGGTACATGGAAGACAGTGCAGCAACTGATTTCCTACTACATGCATTCCACTTTTCAGCACACATTTCTTAAGCCCTAAAATAGACCTTTATTTCATAATGCATAACTGAAGGTAACAGGCTCTGTTTCCTTTCAGCTTCTTCTAACACCAGGGCTTCATAAGGATCCTTTACTCAGTTTCTAGTCTGTATTTTATTCCACTGAAGCTCATTAGCAGAACTTGTTTAAAGCTAAAGCAGGCTACAAGCTACATGAGGCAGCATGATAAAGAAATAAATTTGCAAGCATGAGTCATGGGTTATTTCCCAAGAAGAGTTTTTTTCCCTTTGAAACTGACAAATGGTAGGAAGATTGAATATGATTCTTTAGATTCTTGCTGGGAATGTATGGCACCAATGGAAGGGCTAGGGGCAGCTGTTAATCCTGCCAGCTCTTAAAAATAGCCTTTCTGTAAAGCCAGGTCTGCCTGTAAGCCCCTCTCCCTGGACTCATCATTTGGTGAGTGCAGGAGCAGTGCAGGGATCTTTCTCAAGGCTGGGTACAGCATTCACATACACCAACTTCTCCTCGTTGTGTTCTTTGGTTTCGGCAGCACACAGGCTGTCTGCTGATATGACGAGCACAGGCACCCTCCCTAACCTGCCAAGAAGGTTAATTATCTGGTTTCACTCTCATTCAGGGAGAGATTTATAAGAAAATCATTCTCCATCAAATTGCAGCATAACCAGAAAAAGTTGTTGTGCTTGTGAATACAGACTTTGTTTTGTATTACTTTGATATTTACTAAGTTGTACTAATGTTTTAACCCAGGCATTGCTCATTACTTATACATCCCAACAAGGTAATTTTAGTGGTTTCTACATTCCTGCATCTAAGAGAGAGAAGGCAGAAAACAAAGAACTGGCATTAACATGGCCATTACACAGCTGCCTGATTACTGAAACAAAAGCTAAGGGGACTGCATATCTATCCACATCAGGATTTGTTTTTGGTGGCTTTGCCTTATCTCCTCAGATCCACACATAGTTACACTTCTTTGACTACCAGTGGGCATATTAAGCATGGACTCAAAAGAGCTATTAACCCTCTCTGTAGAAATAAATATTCTCTATATGTCATTTATACTGATATTTTGTGTTATGTAAAATGAAGACATTTGTGGCTCTGTACACCCATGTGGTCCCACCTACTCTTGACCTTATATATTTTGTAAATATATTCTAGTATGTAGCACTATGCATCTGGTGATGTGCAAGCAGATAAAACATTCAAGAGCATTCACAACAACACTAGTAGGAATTACATGCTTTGATCCAGTACTCTGCTAACATTAGCCCAATGAGAAATACTTAAATGTCATAGAAACTCACGTGCACATGTATCATTCTTTTCCTGAATCTCCCGAGGGAGTTGTTCCATTTAATGCTAAGTAAACATTATGACCATAATCTGTTTTCTGTGATGATTATTGTTATCATTATTATTGCTTTAGGTAATTCTAGGAATTCTACTTCCTCCTTCAATCCTCAGCTTGGAGTTCAAGAACAAAGATGATATGCCCTACATGACCCAGGCCAATGAGATCCATCTTCAAGAAAAGGATCCAGAGGAACCAGAGAAGCCAGTGAAAGAAAAAGATGAGGAAGACATGGAGCTCACTGTAAGTGCTCACAATAAATCATCAGCCTCAGTGCTGTCAATTTGTTATTCCTACCTCTGTAGGCATTGCAGAACATCTGATGGCTAAATATGGCACATGATAGGATACCACTCTTCACACTCCCCTCTCCTCCGTGGGACTCAAGCCACACAAGTTGACATCATTTTGTCTCCATCCTGCAGCAGGAGATCCTGTGCTTTAATATCCTCATATTTTGACTCAATTTGATGCTACATTGTCTGAACTAAGTGAATTAGATTTTAGAAACACTCAGTCATGATAAATGACCTCTCTGGTGGAAAAGGGCTTATCTTTGGTTGGAAACACCCAAAGATTCATGGCAGCCAGAGATTTTTTTTTTTTATTTTAGTTGACTGCACTAGAGAATAAGCAAGTGTGCAAACAGGCAAAAAAAAATATAAAAAATTACTCTAAAATTCTTTTTGTATTTGTGGTCATTGCCTTTAACACAAACACACATCCAGTTTTTAATCTACTGAAGACATTAGCAAGCAGCTAGACAGCTCCACTTCTACAACTCAACAGAACTGTGCAAGGAGGGACTTGTCAGCATTAATAACATAGCCTTTGAGGAATAATTTACACCACAAACAGTCAGACAGTTAAAGCTCTGAAAACTACACAAGTCACTTACCTCCTGTCTCTTGTTCTCACACTTTGTAGTTTGGGCAGTTATCATACAGGCTATTACATCAGCCTTAGTCTACTTTGGTTTGGATTTGTTTGGGTTTGATTTTGGTGTCTTTGAAATGCTTAAAACTCAGCCCCAGTTGGTCAGGGTAGAGGCATAGACATAAAAGGGATTTGCCTGGTTAAGTTAAAAAACAAAAAACAAAAACAAAAAAACCCAGACTGTTTCCCACAGGCAAACAGCAGGAGCTGCCCACAGGACCCCGACTGCAGGCAGGCAGAAGGACCTGCCTACAGGACCCAATATGCAGGCAAGCCGAAGGAGCAGCCCACAAGACTCACCTACAGGACCCGTTTGCAGGCAAGAACCCGGCTGTTGGGAAGGACCAGAAGCCAGAATAGCAGCAGTGGGGCATTCTCTGCTCATTAGCTATTGATTGCAATTACTAACCGTTGGCTTCTGATCCCCTTATGGAGTGCCTGTTCAAATCAAAGCTCTTTGCAAGCTGCCTTTTACCTGGCAATGGGGAGAAATTTGGGGAAGATGTGTTTTCCATCTCACTGTAGTTATCCCAGCTCCTGGTTTCTTGTCTTCAATACTGTTTCCTTTTCCCGTTCTGACTACTCCTGCTGCAAGTAAGTGATGTGTGCAGTGGATCCACTATTCCAGATGAACCTTAGATGTTCCCCCTCTTCTCCCTTCCATGTGCTGACAGTCCTATTGCTCTGTTCCGTCATTGACTCTTCCCTTAATCCCTTCAAACTCATTGTATCACTCTCGTGAAGTTTCAGGCTCTCGTAAATTTTCTATAAAATAACATTTCTTCCTGTGGAGTCCAGCAAGTTTAGAAACAGTATCTTTGGTACAGAGTACATCTATACTATACTGTAGAACTTCTAACACACCTGTTTCACACAGGTGCCCCTCAGTGGTGAGGAGAGGCAAATAGGTAGCAGAGAGATCTTTGCATGTCTCTGGTTAGACACCACAGGCAGTTACATTTAATCACCTGACATACTTTAAATATAAGAAACTACTTTAGACTGAAGTTTCATGTTGTTCCAGCCAGTCAAATGGTCTGGCATAAAGGTCAGGTTTCTTTTCCACTGATCAGAGAATGCCTCAAAGATGTTTCGGGAAGTGCCTTTGTGAAGTTTCCTCTTAGCCCCTTTAGTATATTAAGGATACCTTATAAATATTTCAATAAGATTAATAATTTATTGTGCTGGGATATCATAAATTTTTAATCCATTGTTGAACTTTGAATCAATAGATCACCTAACCTGAGCTTTGTTCAGCATAAAGATTAACAAACAGAAGTGATGTTAAAAAAATCATTTTTTTCTCAAAATTCCTTTTATGGCAAATAATATATAATTGAAATAATCTTCCTTATTCTCCTTCTAATAATTCCAAATGAATACTTCTCAAGTGTCTGTATTAATCATGTTACACCCATATTCTCTGCTAAAATGAAGATAAAGAGGTCTTGTCTAGGCAAGGTCTGCTCATTGATTTCCTGTGTGTCTTGCACTGCAAAACCCAGGTGACTAAAGACAGGCCAAGGAATCAGTTTCTTTTTTCTGTACTGCTCTTATGTAGAGTGTGTGACAGTACAGGGCCACAGTCATCTTTTCACTATTTTACACCTCATTTGCACAGAATAATGTGATCAGCAGCCTACAGCAACAGTGAAGTTAAGTCTCCACATGGGTGCACCTGCATGCAAGTATGTATTTGCTTTATGCTCTTCTTCAAGGGCCTGGTGGGTAACTGAACATATGGATATACTATGAAGATGTGTTTATTCACTGTAAAATACTTGCTATTCACACCTGCTTTTAACTTTATAACAGATACATGAGAGTGATAGGCCCACATTTCTTTAACACCTAGATGCTAAGGAACAGGCTTGTGGCAGCTACTCACAAAAACACATTTGAATACTGCTCTCATCAGTGCTCGTCAGCACCAAGAAATTTACCACAATTTATATATGGAACTGACAGTCATTGATCCTGAATAGTAAACAGAGAGGAGTAGAAGGACATTAAAGTCTAAAGGCCAGTGATATTTTCTATTTGTACAGCGTCTTAATCAAGGCCTTAATTGCTGAAATTCACGTCAGTCAGAAACCCCAGAAGTCTCCCTTCCTCCCAGAACAACCCTGATTCTGGAAGCCATAACTAGGAGCATCCTTAACCTTATTCACTGCCTCATTGTTTGGGTATTAGAGCTCCTTGGTAAATAGTTTTATTTCAGAACACGGAATAACTCATCTAAGTCCTTTAAAAGGTGTCTCTTTTGTTCTTGTGTTCATTTTGCTCTGTTTTTCCACAATGAATAGGAAGTTTGGACTTCCATGAGCATCACTGAGTTAGTCTGAGAACTTTTCAGCAGCAGCAAAGCTAGTTCTGTTGGCCTCTGGGATCACATTAATTCATCTGCAGTGTGTGTAGCCTTTTCTCAATGGCAAGAAATAACCAAATACTAATCATATCACTAAAAATACAGTTCTTAACACAGAAAAGTCTGAAGATCCATGTCCCAGTGCCCCTGGCCCAACTCACCCTTCCCAGTGGAATATGACTCACAGCATCTCCCCTGCCAGCAACAAAGCACCCCTTCAGCTCATCTGGAAAACAGAACTGGGAGACACTGCTGATGGTCACTAGGCAGAAGTGCTGACTCTCTCCATGAGGAGAGGTTCTCTCTTCCTCCAAGGAGTTTGGAAACCCTCCATACCACCACACATGTGCCCTGGCATGGTCTGTATTCTTTGCCCTGCTCAGCAGACAGGATGACTGAGCTCCTGGTGTTCCTGTGTGCTCACTGTAACCACCAAGCACGCGAAAAATCTGGTTTTACACATCTGTAATCAAAGACATTAGAACATTTTCCTACCAGTGTTTAAGGGCAGAGCACAGTAATCCTAGGACAACTACCATGGCCCTTTGACACACAGTGTAGGATCCAGCAGGGTGTGCTGAGGGAGGTGTCTCCACACAGCTATGTATCATTTCTGCATCAGTTCTCTATGAACCCTATATATATGTAGATTTCACTCAGGATGAAACTGGAAGGGCCTGTATTCATTCCAGAAAGAATGGAATTCCCATTATTTAATTATGAAACACATAAACATGGTATAGGATTGTATTAGTGCAAGAAATGTACAACTGAAAACTTCCACTGATAGTTCATTATCAGTAAACAGTCCTCAATTACATAAAACAAAATCTGGCCCAACAACAACAATAACAACAAAAACCAGATTAATAAAATCTCCATGTAAAAACTATGCAAACATCAATCCCTTCAGGCTAAATTGATGCAGTTGTACTGTACTTCACAATGAGGTTGGGCTGCTGTCAAGCTTACCTTGCATGACTCATGGTGAATCATGGACAAAATCATGTATTAGAGAAAGAGATGCCGCCCACACAGAGCAGTGTGTTGAGTTGTTCCCACCCCTACTGCATCCCACTCCAAGGAAAACATTTGTTCACATTTGGCACTGCAATTATTCTGTTAACACAGTTACTTAGGTTATTTCTGGATGTTTCTAATGGGGAAGCTTTTCAGTTTGTTAATACCGAGGTATAATTAACAGTCAGGAACATCAGGTCAAACCTAATCCCTAGCCATCTCAGAGAAATTCCCCATCTGTAGCATGGGGGAGGGGAGAAGGTAGTATAATATGATAGAATTCATTCAAAAATAATTATAACAAGATAAAATACGGCATTGTTATCAAGAAGAAAGCAGTACCAAACAGGAAATCAGAATTCATAAGCTAAAGCATAAATCCAGATATTTAAAGAGCATTATCATAAAAACATCAGCAAGTCACTGATTTAATTGAGAATTAAGTCTGACTCAGAATTTGTAAAATTTACAAGTGAAGGATTTGAACTCTGTAAAATAATCCCTTTCATTAAAGCACGGCACTGCTCATTTGTTAAAGCAGACAGCATTCATTTTTTCACTCTGCTGCAAAATTTCTGAGCACCAGAGGACAGCAGAGACAAAGCCTTGGGAAAAGCTACGGAAAACTCTGTAGCTCCAGATGGTAGTTTTCCCTGAACAGCATCAGTAAGTAGAGGAAAGCAAACAAATTACTACCTTTTTGGGCTATAGTGTTCCCAAAGCATTCAGATCATATTCAAATTGTTTTTCCAAAAAAACCCAAAAAAACTAAGAAACAAACAAAAAAACACAAAAAAAAAAACCCACAAAAAAACAACCAATCAATTATATGGATCAAAAGATCACTTTGATTTTGTGGAGTTCAGGTAATGGTATCTTCTGTGGAGGTTGTGTAACTTCTGTTACTGTAGTTATATTCAGTAGGTCTCGTAACCATAAAAACCCTTCTCTGCTTAACAGCCACTTTGTCTTTTTTCTTTTTTATAAAAGTCTTGATGGACTTTCAAGGTGTTTTACTTGCTCTGTGAGAGCCAACAGGAGGTACATTTAAATTTTTAATGGGTAATGTTTTATCTGTATGTATGGAAATTAAATTAAAAATCTTCAGCTGTTCTTCCATTAAAGCTAAAGGAAATAGGTTAACTTGGTCAAAGTAGGCTTTAGTTTTTGAGACAGTCCCAGGAGGTTAGTTTCAGTGCAGTATTTTTCTGTCCTGAATATTTTTTGAATTTTATTGAAAATACGCACAGCAAGATCTGTGTGTTGTCAGATTCAAAAATATAAGGGTGCGCAAGGAAAGTAATAACATTAGAGGAAAAATTAACTGCATAAATTAAATTAAAGAGAAAGAGCCATATGGGACCAAGCATAGTCCTAATAATGTTACAAATATCTACACTAACTGAAAAAAGTTGACCCTTACAAATTACTATTTCACAGGAAAAAGACCCGTGAATAGCTCCACAATAGGCAAGAAAAAGGAAGAAAAGGTTAGATTGTGATTCCTACTTTTAAATACCTGAGGAGTGCATCACCAGTTCCTGCAGGGCTCTAGAACCTGATCAGATAGCTCACCTGAAGCAATTAGTTAAGTATGTGCTGTACATCCTGTTGAGTCGGAGAGCACAGCTACAGAGAGACACTAGAAGGACCTTTTTATGGAATGACCATATTCCTGGCATCTAATTGCTCCCTTAGTTTTCCACCATTTAAGTTGCAGATGAGGGCCTTGCTATCTTCACAGGTGGTGAAAGTTTGCTTCAGTTAACATAAAAGCACAAGGGTGCCTTCATCTATTTGTAGAAAAGTATGATGGGAGCATTGAAGCAAATGCATCATCATGCAGTCCCTGCATACTTAGGTATGTCTCAATTCTTGCAAATATTTCATGTGCAGGGTGCTGCATTCCAGAGGTGCATCCACACACTAAATTGGAAGAACTTGCAAAGGGCACAATGAGCTAAAATCCAGTCTTAGTCTACTGTTCACTAAATAATTGCTTCAGAATGAACATTTAATAGGTCACGTTACACTTCAGATAGAGAGGAGCTCCTTTTAAGCACTAAGTTCAGTGGTTGTAGTTTAGTCCTTCCACTTGTCTGCACCTGATAATGAAAATTAAGGGTAAACAAACAAAATGCTACCTTCTTTTGACTGTTAGGCTTGCACTCACAGCAGAGAACTTCTTATGTAAGTGTTGCTTGAGCTTGGTGTAGCTTCTCAGTGGGTCTGAATTGCAGTGGTAACCGTGAGATCAAGCCTAGCAAAGGCAATGCATGAGCAGTCTGGAACTTCACTATGGAAGAAGCTGCAATCATGTACATGGATATTTCAATCCAAGGTCTTTCTGCAGCAGTGAGCTTTGCTAGTATATCCTCTTGCATCCATGTAAGCTTCACTGTGGGATCATGGCCTGAAACAGGTCCAGTGATTAACTTTAAAAGTGCCACTGTCTTCTTTGCTTCTAGTTCAGTGACTACCAACTCATCTTTTCCCTTGTTGTTCCCTCTCAATCTCTGCCTTATGAGCTTCTCTTTGTTTAAAACCAAAATTTACCTGTTTCCTGTCTGCATCTGTTTATTGTATAGAAGTACACCACAAAATGCTGTTGTCAGGTAAATGTGGTTTTGTCCATACAACAAAGAGGAGAAATATTCTCCACATCTTGATTTTTTTGTTCACCGGTCAGTCCCAAGCTGAGGGTTGAGGCTAAAGCTATAGCTTTCCACTTTCAAAGTATTAAACAGAAGCCTTCCTGCAAAAAAGATAATTTGAAAGCAAACCATTTTATGCCTAGTTATGATCGACTGGTTTTATCTAGAGATCAAGAAGAGTTTCCTATTGATATTTCAAAAAACAGTATCATTTTTCTTCCATAAAGAAAGAAACACCAATATATCATTTCTTGTAGGCAATGCTGGGACGGGGAAATGGAGAGTCCTCAAGAAAGAAAGAGGATGAAGAAGTTCAGAGCAGACACAGGATGATCCCTATTGGAAGAAAGATTTACGAATTCTACAATGCTCCCATCGTGAAGTTTTGGTTTTACACCGTAAGAAATATTTACTGTTATATCAATAATGCTTGTACAAATACTGAAATTTGACTTAGATCATCTTTTGTGTTTTACTGATGTCTACACTTATATGTATTGGAGGGCTTACACATAAACAGTTAAATAAAAACACTTGGTGAAAGTCTGCTAGCATTGCAAACCTTTCCATGACTTTTAAAGTTTACCATTTTGTTCAGGCTAAAAATTGAATTATTTGTATGTTTTTATTTAAATAAAATGGTAAGGGGAAGTTTGCTGTAGTGCTCCCAAGGAATTCCCTATAGGAGAATTCAAAATAGGATTACTTCCAATAGTAAGCCCAGTGGTCTGAGTCAAAATATTAATTATCTAACAACTGAAGAAAAAAAGAGAGAGCACTTCTTCGCTTGGAACATTTTTTTTTTTTTTTTCTGTTTTGGCCAGTCTGTGGTGTGTCTCTCAGAGAAGATGTGCATGTAAGTACCCACAAGATATCAAAGACATGATTGACAGCTAATGTACATTTTTCAGGGACAAATCAGGTTAAACCTGATATATTCTCCCTGTGTTAGAAAGAAACAGACCTTCCAGAAGGAGTAGAAAAAAATTATGTCATGTATTTCAACTGCAGTAAAACAGTACCAAAAACTTCCCAGAGTTTTCTCACAGCTAAATTAATAACTGCTACATTAAAGTTACCATGTGAATGAAAAGCTTTTTGACAATTAGTCATCAAGAGTAGATATTAATTATTCATTATCAAGCTGGAAGCAGAGATTAGAAAGGATGCCATTAAGTTCTCTTCTATATCAGGTGCTATCTGATATTTTTATTCAAAACTTGGAAGTAGAGATTAGTTTTTGTTTTAATTATTATTAGTTATTTTACAAATTGCACTAGAATGTAGAAGGATAAAACAAAAAAGATCACGGAAAGTAATCCTTTCAGTCTTCTTGGCTGGAGTGTTCCACCCCAGTTCAGCTTATGTGTCATGTGAGAAGTGTGGACTGGTTTGAAAGACCACAAAAAAGACAAATTTTTCAAGAGGTTTGTAAAGCTTGACTTAAGGGGAGAGTTTAAGGAAGTGAGGATGATTTCTCTGTTAAAAAAAAAAAAAGAAAAAGGTCTGCAGAAGGAATATAAGAGTTTTCAAATATATGTACCTCCAAATCCTTGCTGAATAGGAGAAAAAATAACACCCAGACAGTTCTAGGTAAGAAGCTGGGAAACAGTTTCTAACTGCTGTAATAAGTGCTGTCATGAACTATGTGAGGACATGCTGGATTTTCCATTATTAGTGATTCCTAAATTATTTTATCAGGACACACGTCCATTATGGTACACTGGAATTAATCCTGCCTCAACCCAATGGAATTGGTTAGATGGTTTCAGGTGTTTTTTCCCTGTCATATTTTCCATCATTCTGCTGAGAGCACAGCAAATCACAAAGAATGGATCCTTCTGCAAGTGACTTCTTATAAGAAAAATCGCCTTGCAGATGTTGGGAACAACTCACATCGATCAAGTCTTTACTGTGATGGACCCTGTAGACTAACAGGTAGTTTAACATCTGGGAGTAACTTATTGCTCAGCTCCTTGGCCACCATACATTAATCAAGCCCACAAGTCCAGAAGCTACTCATCAGCAGCCTAGTCTCATTATCAATTGCAGTGTGTATTATGCACAAACAGAAAAGTCTTTACACTGCAAATGGAAAGAAGCATCCTAGCTTTCCCTGTTAGTTCAATATTTAAATGGGAGGGAGAAATCAATATTGCATTTCCATTTAGACTTGTTCCTACAGTTGTATGTCCTTAGGCAGGTCTCAATCACGGTCATTGGATCTTGGATACACTGAACCTGGAGAGCAAGTTAAGGTGGATTCTGGCTGCCATGCTTGACCTGTTGTGTATACTGAGAACTCCAGAAGACTAAAAGCAAAAGGAGTTTCAGAGCAGGGTTAAAATTGCACAGCCTATCACAATTTTGCAAATACAGAGGCGCAAATATTCATGGATTTCAAAAGAAATTGTTTGAATTTTACGTTCCACTGTCCAAAGTGCATGTAAAAGGTCCTATGGCTATTGCATACCACTTAAAACAATTTGAATATTCTTCAGTTACCTATCTCTATTACTATATAGCTGTATTCACCTTCATTCTTCAAATACACAAGAGTGAGTTAAATGAGGTATTTGAGTAAATAACATTTAGCTCAGCAGACATTAGACAGCTTTTTCTCAAAAAAAATCCCAGAAAAAAAACAAACCAAAAAAACCCAAAAACCAATACAAACCAACAAGCAACTCCCCACCAACTTTAGCCTTTCTCTCTAGGCACACAGCAATTTCAAAAGTCAACTGCTCTGTTCTGTTTCGTTGCATTGGAAACCATGATGCAAATGTTTCATCCCACAGATTGCGTGAGCAGAGGAGGATGATCTTCTCCTACTGTTGACTACTCCCACTGTCCTAATGTCAAAAAACTCTTGCAACAGTGTTAAAATAGTAAAATAAAAAGTAGACCTTTATTGGAAGCTTTCAGGTATCCTGGCGGCAATGTGCTTACATGGCATTGGATTTCTACAATTTTTATAAGATTTACAAAGTACCATATCTAACAAATATTGTCCAATTAGAAGAGTAGTTGGTTAGGTTACTTTCCCTGGATACTGCCCCACTGGAATTGGTCCAGGGCTTCTTTGCCCCATTTCATGTTGTGTCTCCTCAGATTCTGATCTGGGAAACAAAAGCCTGCTCCTTGCCAGGCTTCCTCTTAAGAATAAGACTCAACAGTATTTCAGGAATGTGTTAGAACGTTAACTTACTACTCTAAAATCTAAGAGAAAGGGTAGCAAAAATACTAGGAACTATATATAACTATTTAATAGTAGCCTAAAAAGCTACGAATATATGAAAAATACATAAAAAGGAAAATCTTTTAGCATCACTACCACTACTAGCATTAGCTGAGATATAAGCAGGAAGGTTCTATCTCTTCTGAAGAAGAAAGCTGCAGAGGAATTAAGCTCCAAGTAAAAGTCATTTTCTAAACATCAAAAAAGCATTGCCCTAAGTTTTGCATTTTGGGACCACTTCAGTTTATGATCATTTAATTATCGCAATCAATCAGAAAAGAGGAGAGTGATCTCCTTGAAGCATTAACCTGTTGGTACAATTTCCAGGTTTCTCCTTGACCAAGATGAGTATTCCATTATTTTCTACAGAATGGGACTGCATGCATAGAAGGGCCAGGTGAAATCCACCCTTGAAACTTCTTAATAGGCACTTCTTTCTTTAGTTTCTTCCAGTACTGCCCTCAAAGGTGACAATGGCAGCTCCTAGCTCTTTGTCAAGCCAGGCAAAAACAAGAAAAAGCAGGGTTCAGCTACTTCTATAGTAGCACTTTTAAAGAATCTTGAGTACCAGCATGAACAGCTAAACTGAAGTCTGACCACAGTGTTGGATCAGTGTAGCCTCCTGGAAGGTGAGAGCAAGTTAGAAGTGTGGGGAGGAAGAAGGGGGGTGTCATTCACTATCTGAAGGACTTGTTTCTTGGGTTAAAGTAGAGAGATTTCACAATAATTTTACTGACAAATCAAGGTTCTTATGTCAAGCAAAAATGTTTTACAATTTTGAGTAAGTTTGAATTGACATAAAGAAATCCACTGAAACCAAAACCAGAAAAGCCAGCATTTCTAAAGAAAACCAGAAAGAAGCTAGTTACAGTTAGATTCTTGCAATTTCTGTCACCTTTATAACCTCAGTGTCCTTATTCTTTTGCCCTACTGGCTGCAAGTGCTCACCAAAGGCTGCTGAAGCAGTTTGAAGTAGGTTTCCCGATAATCAGTAATCAATAAGGTCTAAGAGGAGTGTTGAGTAACAGTACCACCTGGCTTTTTCTCCATATTAGAAGGTGCTGTTTCCACTAGGGAGATGTGTATCCAGTTCTGCCTGCCCAGGGTCCTGCTGACCCCAGTGTCACCCTAAGTGTTGGTCTACATCCACATTGCTCTCCATTTCCTTTAGGAGTGGTAGGAGAAGAGCAGCCTCCGACCCTGTATTGCAATCCATCATCCCTCTCAAACTGAAAGACAAATGAGATCATTTCCTCCGCTGTTTTATGCAGACAAGAAGTAGTACTTCAGCTGTCTGATTCCTCTATAATGATAGTTATGGTCAATAGAACAAATTCTATTGAGTGTCCTCAGCCAGCAACTGGAACAAAAGCCAGAATCCTGTGGCTTTTACAAAGAGTGGAAGTGACATTTTCTAACAAATACAATAGGACTATAAACTCCATTCTGTGATGTGCAGAACATCTAAATAATCCTACCCAAAGGTCTCAAGGCCCTCTGTGGTTGTTTCAGCTTACATCCCATGTATGCAACAGTGAGTAACAGACAGCTGAGAGATAAACTGAATTCAAATATAGATGTATGTATTACAGCTTTCTGTCACAATGACTAAATGTTCATGCACAGAACTGACTCATCTTTTCTCTGACTTATATTTAGTCTTAAGATGCATTTTCTTATAGGGCTGCTGTTTGAAAGGCAAAGTAGACAGGTAGTTGGATTCTGGCCTCCACAAACCAGAGTGGAATCCATGCTCCAGAATGACACTTGAGTTCCTCTGACCTTGATGAACTTGATGATGCAATTGGGCTGATTTGTCTTTTTTTGACAGACCATTTAATTACATTCAGCATGCAAAAAAACAAAGGAAAATAAACTAAAAGCTGAATTCATACTTTCCTATGAATGAAAAATTAACCTGGAAGGTAAATATATTTAGGAAGGAAAAGAAAAACATTCCCACTTAAAAATCTGCAAAAACTATGATGCAAATGGATTCATGGCTATGCCCAGCTCCTTACTGCAGCAGGAATAGGAGTAGTAGTGTTTTGGGGAGGAAACATGCTATAAATTTGGTCAGCATTACACTGTGTAAACAGACCTCTAATAATGCCTAAAATCTGGACTCATAATGCCAGACTCAGCCCAGATTAGGTGAACGATGGGGGAAAACACAGAGCGGTGCTGGAGGACTGAAGGCTTTTAGAAGCAGATGACAGAGAAATCTTCACATAGCTTACTTGATTGGGTAGTTGACAGAGTGGTATTAGAATTGCTGTCACTGTGGGATGATCCCAGGGAACTGCATTAATAAAGTTTTTTTTGAGGAGATAGATATAGCTGGTCATATGTGCATGTATTTTGCAGATTCCATACAGTATGTGACTCAATGCGAGCTTTCTCAGGCAACCCAGGAGAGTCTTATTGTTCTTTTGTCTGTGACACCCTGGCTACAGTAGAAACAGGAATATCAAATCATACCCAAGAAACTGGCTCAGTTGTATAGATAGTGACAACTCATATTTGTATTTTTTTCCTTTACAGCTGGCCTACATAGGGTACTTGATGCTGTTCAACTACATTGTGTTGGTGAAGATGGATCGCTGGCCATCTATTCAGGAGTGGATTGTCATTTCATACATTTTCACTCTGGGAATAGAGAAGATGAGAGAGGTAAATTCTCCCCAACCAAGAAAGAATAAAAAAGGAATAAGCATAGGGCTTGATGTTTTGGGGTTTTTTAATTTTAATATCTGTTTTTAGTATTTTTCTCAGTGTACATTTTTATGAATGAGTTTATCATAAAAGTGGTTTTTTTTTTGTTTTTTTTTTTCAGAAAGGCAGATGGATTGTTTTTAAAAGCAGGAAAAAATATCTATCCTCTTTAATTTCAAAAATAGCAGTTTCTTTTTCTTCTTTCTTTCTTTCTTTCTTTCTTTCTTTCTTTCTTTCTTTCTTTCTTTCTTTCTCTCTTTCTCTCTTTCTCTCTTTCTCTCTCTCTTTCTCTCTTTCTCTCTTTCTCTCTTTCTCTCTCTTTTTCTCTCTTTATTTCTCTTTCTTTCTCTCTCTCTTTTTCTTTTTCTTTCTCTCTCTCTTTTTCTTTTTCTTTCTCTCTTACTCTCTTTCCTTTTTCTGTTCTTTCTGTCCTTCTCTTTTTCCTTCTTTCTTTCCTTCTTACCTTCTTGTTCTTCCACAAAATTTCTGCATTCAAATTTCATTAACAGCACTCACAACTACAGGGTGATCTTCTGACAAGTCTTAAAGGTCAGATAAATTTCTTGAAATACGCCTCTTGAAATTTTTTGTTAATTTGTCAAGCAATAGTGTGCATCCCCCTAAGGATGCAAAAGCAGACACACAGAGCAGAGACAGAGCATTTAAGGTACACTCAGTCTATAGAGTGAGTGAAGTGGTTCTGTGTAACCCTGCCCCTCATGGTCTCTCCCACCTAATGCTGTCCCCTTTAGCCAAAGCTGCATTTATTCCACAGTGACACCAGAAGCCCAATTCAGCCCTAGTGTGAGCAAATGTGAGTCCCACAGACCTCAGCTGGAATAGCACATTTGTACCCCTGGGCTGAACCAGTTGCCAGTTTTGCTTGTGCATTCTGAAGCCAGCACTCTGCAGGACTAGACTAAAAGTGGATTTGCAACACTTAGGTTTCAAAGACAGGTTTCAAAGACAGGTTTCTGACTCTGTATGGTAAATGCTATGTTATAAATAAAAAGAATGGAGGAAAAGGCACTCCTTGAGTGGCCCATGAGAATGTGTCATTAAGGGAAAGGAAAGCAGTGGCAGTAGCCACACGAGGACTCTGTGGAGTCAATGCACTGCTGGCTCAGCAGGTGGGAGGCTGCAGACAGGAGTTGTGTGAACTGGGTTTTGTCTAATCATTCACCCCAAACTGTCCTTTCCACAGAAGTTTACCAAAAATATTTGTCACAATTGATTTCTAAGCAGATAATGGAATTGTTCACAGATGAGGCTAAAATTCATTCCAAAAACAAATTATAAGAATGACATTCATCGTGTTTGAGGAACTATATGAGTTTGCTCAAATGTTCTTGGGCTAAATATAGAAAATGAAAACCAACAGCTTGTTAACTCCCTAAAAAGTAGGACTTATTCATGGAGATCACTTGAATTATAGTTTTAAGAGTAGTTTGGGAAAACAATCAAGTTTCACAAATGATCTTGCAAGAAGAATGACAATAAATTAATAAGGTAAGGTTATTTATTTTTGTGACCTTTATTCTTGGCTGTGGGACTTAATTTCCAAAAACAGGCCCAAGTAGTATCTAATATCTCTCTGTATTAAATCTCTGATGCAGAGCTTTATGTTTATTAATTATTTTTTGTCATTTGACACACATTTTAATATAACTTTCTCTAAATCTACAGCTTCTTTAAATGTGAATTTTCTGATTTAAAAAAATCTTTCTGTATTTTGCCCTCTGTTCTAAGACCCTAAGTATGGCTAATACATTTGAAAAACAGAAATACATGCACATATTGCTTCTGATTAGGTGAGGATTTTAGACTGAGCTATCACTTTGTACTTTAAAGTATTTTGCACATAGTCGCATTTTAAGAATGCTTGAAATTGAAAATTTTGTGGGGGAAAGAAACAGAGTACTTGAGATATTCAGATGGCAAGCATCTATCAGCTTTGCTTTTGGCCTGTGTAGCATATATCTATCTGTTTAGTATAGATTTCTTCAACTTTAGGACAGCTCAGTTACTCTCCATTTCCTCTGTCCTTCAGATCCTCATGTCAGAGCCTGGGAAACTGCTGCAAAAAGTCAAAGTTTGGCTCCAGGAGTACTGGAATGTTACCGACCTCATAGCTATCCTGCTGTTCTCTGTTGGGATGGTTCTCCGTCTGCAGGACCTGCCTCTCCGGAGCGACGGACGCGTGATCTACTGCGTCAACATCATTTACTGGTACATCCGGCTGCTGGACATCTTCGGCGTGAACAAGTACCTGGGGCCCTACGTCATGATGATCGGGAAAATGGTAAGAGGAGCTGGTGAGCCCCTTCTGCTTGACAGCTTGTTCTTGGCTCAGTGTCCCTAGCCAGTGACATTGCTGCAGATTTACCTGTGTTTTGTTTTACACATTAGTGTTTCCATACCGGTTTGAAGTCGGTGCTTTATTGATTCAAAACCTCCAGAATCAAGGTTTTTCCTGTTCTGTTAGGTGATGTATTGTTTGTCTCTCTCTGAGATCACTCTTCAACAGCAGAGCCACCCTACACCCCTCTGTACTTCATTTACAGAAAGTGCAAAGGAGATTTGATGGTTATAAAGGAAGGTGGTTTGTTAAGGTAAAAAAAAAGTTGTTCAGATGTGTAGTACCCTGAGACTCAATGTGTTGTAATAGTCACGGTGTGTTCAAAACTACAGTGGTCATGGTTAAGAATGACCCTTCTATAGTTTGATCCACATTCACATGCTCTTCCATCATTCAATTCAGGTCTGTCCTTGTGAGATGAGAAATCCATTTGCTAAGTGCAACTTCTGTGCCCTGGGCACATCAACTATACACACCACAGCAGGAATATTAACAATTTGTGTAATAGTAAATGCATGCACAAGGAATCAAGAGACACGTGCTTCCACATGCGTGACTTTTGACTTTTGAATTTTTAATTTTCATGTTTCAATTGAAATGTTGCTATTAAGCAGCATTTTGCTTGTTTCAGTTAAAGAAAAAGGCTGGATTTACAGATGGATATGCACACATCCCTGATATTTGGATACCTGTACATGTAGCTAATGTATGTGTTCATGTTTCACACACAGTATCCAGCTTTTCTTGTGTAAATCATGTCTTTTTCATGCATTTTGGGGTTTAAGGTGTGGAATTTTCTAATTAGATTAAAGCCCCTTGAAGCTGGCTTTAAGTGAAAAATAGTAAACTGAATATTAACTCATCTAGATGGAATACTACTGCTGTCTGTTTGCTATGTGATGATAATCAGGAAGTCCAAACAGGCTGTCTGTTGTACTTATCTTGCAATGGTCCTTAAATAAAGGCTTCATTCATCCTCACCATCATAAGAAAAGGGACCATGGACTACAATATCTCCTCAATATTACATTGGTCACAACAGGCACAGTGAGCAGGTATAAAACTGAAATGAAAAATATACATCCAGTTTGTCTTGGTTTGGAAGACAGGTGTCTGGTAGAGAGGGCAGGAGCCTCCCTTGGAATACACCCTGCCCAACAGGGAACCATTGTCTTATCCCCTCAGTTTTCCAGCTTTCTCCTGCAAGCCCTCAGTGGTGGGTTTGACAAAGAAAGAACAGGTTTGTGGGAAAAAAGTTAGGGAGAGAGACTGAGGGAAAATATGAAAGTGATAGTTGAGTTGTTATGTCCTGGAAAGCCCTTGCCTCAATAAAGCCTATAGGAGGTTGTCATGAGGTTTTGCAGAGCTCCATAGTGAAAATACTCAACAGTTCTTGTTGGAGGTTCTTGTGAAAAGACATCAGGACCAGAGAAAGGAATATAGATCAAAGGAAAAACACTGCCTTAGCAGGTTTCCTTCCTGCCGCATTTGGACTCTCTTTCTGACAATGGATCTGGTGGTCACTGGGGCTTACACATTACACAGTGTATAAAACTTCTGAATAAACAACTACCCTTCTGCTCTGCTTTATTTTCACAGCTACATGCACTAAAATTTTCAGAACTGTGGTGCTAACACAGGCAGCATGAGTAACAGTTCAGTAATAGAGGGGCCACATAAAACAAACTTCTAGTAGTTAGTGTTACAGGTGGCTGATAGGAGCCCAACTCCACCAGCAGTATAAAGAGTGGATTATTTTTCTTCCAGGTCACACAGAAAGGAAGCGATTGAAATTAATAGCATTTTCATTCATTTGTCACTTTCACGTGTGTACAACAAATCAAACCTCACTCCACTTTCTGTGGAAAACAAATGCAGGAAAATCACTAGCCTCTGTGGACTCAGTACCTGCATCAAAGGGTGTTGAATTTAGCTGCCAAATTGTTCTGAAGCTCTGGGCAGCAGTTAAAGGAGGCAAATTCTTCTATTGTGTGCCTTCCTGTTGCTTGGTTCTCATCATTTGTCCAGCTTTCCTTGCACTCTCAGCCACTCTGACACATCCCCTTTGCCCACACATGCTTTGCACAACCAGTTTGAGTTACAGAGATCAGCCTCTCACATCTATTTTCTGACCAGCTTACTCTGTTGTGCAACTCATGTCCAACTCATGCACTCCCTGGGAGTTGCACCTGCTGACTCCAGGCTGCTCCATGGGCTCACTTGTGTATTTTTGTTTAAATCACGTGTCTCTCTACCTTCTTGTGTTCTGTCTTCCAAATGATGTTGGAAGTTCTGTTCTGCACTATGAAGGGTATCACATTGGTTTTACATATTTCTACAGAGTAAGTACATCACAACTGCTGAGGTCCTCAACAGATCATATTTAATGCCCAGGACCTTTTTCTTGAGCTTCCATTGTAAGTTTAAGATTCAGGAGGAAAATGATGGCTTTTTCTATCTTTCCAGTGTTGAGAGGAGCTTTCTCTTCACCTGCCTCTACACTGCTGTAAAAAGTTTTACCTCTGGCCACTCTGAACAAATATGCAAGTGAGATTAAGCAAGGAGCAGGAATGGGCTTGAGTGGTTTAAATGGAATAGGTTAAAGCAAAGATGAAGATACAAGAAGTAAACTGAATAGCCAAGCTTATTATTATCTACTGATTTCAGTAACATAATAGGCTTGTGCTTTTCTGATTTCTGCACAGTGATAGATTTCATTTCCTTTAGGAAATTTGAGGAAAGAAATGAAATGACTGTGGAATGTCAAGAGAGACAGTTATATCAGTTCCTTTAATGTGTGGAAATACCTGTATTTCCTAGCCTTTCTGTAAATACGGAAGTCAAAATACAGCCACCTTCTTAATGAAATTGTACCCCCCAAAAATTGTGTTTGATCACTTGTTTAAGGTGGTTGATGAGTTCTTCAGAATGACTGAAATAGCCATTGCCTTGCTAAAGCAGGAATTGTAATTTGACACCACAGACCAAGGATCTGATACAATGCTCATTAAAGTCAGTGGAAACTTGTCCATATATTTCATTGTATTTCAGACAAGTTACTGGGAACTTAGAAGATACCCAGCTGAAGAAGGAGAAAACTAATGAGCATCTTGAATAGAGAACATCACTAAAAATTTTATTTCTTGTAATATGAGGTGACACCTGTGTGATTCCTGACCAAAAATGCTTGAAACATTTAATACATTATCTTAAATTGCCTCAAAATACTAATTTTGTTTATTTGTTTCCATGACATTTTAAAATAATTATTACATTACATCATATGAAGTTATATATTGCCATCTGAAATTAATTTGATCAGACAAGAAAGGACGAATCAGGTTCTATCTGTAGGTTTGTTCCCTAAAAGCAGTGGAAACTAAACATTATTATTCAGCTTTCCCATTTCAGGATGCTTTCTGAAGTACAATGATCTAGAATTCCTCTTCTTGAGGGAATATTTTTTGGGGAGATTAATGCTCTGAATAAAACAAGAATGTTGATGATTGACTTCACTGGGTTTTAATTATTCAAAGCATTTCTTTTCCTCTCGCATGTTCCCAAGGTTTTTTTCTTTCTTTCCTGCTTTTTTCATGAACCTCAAGACTTTTGTTTTTCCCTGTTTTTTTTTTTTTACTTGTCCTTGGCTCCTTCTTTCCATCTTCCTGATTCTCTCTCATCCAACCTCTGCCTGGCTGGTGCCTTTTTCCTGCAGTGTCTTTCTCTAAACATGAGCATACCTTTTTCTCTTTGCTACCCCGCAACACGCTTTTCTCCAGTACATGCTTTCCCAGTGTTACTCTGACCTCAGCTTGCTTTAAAATTGAAGAACCCCTGGAGCAGTACCAGATCCATCTGCTGCATGTAGGTCCCTCTTCCAGCAGCTCCTGTCATAAGCAGCCCTGCCCTTGGGCTGCAGCAGGGGCCCTATAGAGCCATAAGGCCACCAGCTGAGGCGCAGGTTGGTTTCACACCTCTCTTGCAAGGAAGGCTGAATTCAGCTGAGCCAGAAAATGCAGAGACTGGAGGGAATAAAACTCATAAGGTTTAGAGGATTCTTAACTTCATTTTTGCCTAGAGACAAAAGTTATGTCCAGAATTGTGAAGAACAGCTCAGTTGTAACAATTCTAAGGACCTGTCAAGTCTGTAAGTTTTAAAGGGATCTTACCAGCAACTTTACGCAATTCCCAATTTTTTTCACATTCACCTTGGGTTATCTCTGCTGTACCTGCCTGGTGCCCATTATTCTGCTCCCTTGAGGGCCTTTTCTAGAAAAGTGTTTCTTCTAATCTTCAGATCTATTCAGCATCATGTAGGATTGCTGTCCCACATTTTTCAGAAAATTTTTTTGAATGGATGGGTACTGTTTGCAAGCACTAGTTAATCTTGGGCATATGCTAATGAGGCCCTCAACAGTGGAGAAGAAGAGAGTTCACTGTCTGTTATCTGATGGGGGTTTGTTAATACAGCATTTGTCAGACTCCCCCACCAAGCGGATTTTTAGCCCAGCCAGTATCACAGCTTTCCTTTCTCACTGGTTACCACCATGGTGTCCCTTATGTTGCAGTCACAGGCTGTTCTGCCACCCGTTCCTCCGTATGTTAGTTGCAGCTCCCTTTGCTCCAAGGTAATGACTACCAGTGAATAAAATTATCCATGTCAGCCCTTTTGCTTATGTACAGTTGCCACTTGGTGCCTATAAACAATACATCATCTCACGACCCTTGCCCAGACCAGGCTGCTGATTCCAGTGAACCTATATATTCTTGTGGAGGCAACTGGTGTGACCAGATGGTACTTTGTATTTTCAAGCCTATTCATAACATTTGAATTGTTCTTAAAAGTGACACTGGGTAAAACCAAGGACACAATAATACCACTTCACTTCTTTGAAAAATATTTTTTTTATGTGTAAATGAGAAAGGCTTTTCAAAATTTGTTTTTGAAAATTCTGTTTCTTGGATTCACAGACTTTTTGTTTTTTTGCAGCACATAATAATAGGAATATGGACAAATGAGTTCCTCTAATTCTTGTCCTTTCTCTCTCCCTCTCTCTCTCTCTCTCTTTCTCTTTCTTTCCTTTTTCCTGTCATTACATTCAGATGATAGACATGATGTACTTTGTCATCATCATGTTGGTGGTTCTGATGAGCTTTGGTGTGGCAAGACAGGCAATTCTCTTCCCCAATGAGGAGCCTTCGTGGAAGCTGGCGAAAAACATTTTTTACATGCCTTACTGGATGATCTATGGGGAAGTGTTTGCAGACCAGATAGACCGTAAGCAAGTTTATGATTCTCATACTCCACAGTCAGGTATCCAACTTTAATTAGACGATGTCCTATTAGATCATGTGTGTTTGCTCAATAAATGGCTCTGGATAGAGGAACTTACTCAACACAGAAAATGGTTGCAAAAGTATTTTTTCAGCTAATATTGAGGTGTTCATTTCAGAACATGCTTCTGGCATCACTTTGCAATCATTTAACTGGAAATCCGTAATGCTAAATTATCATGTGTGTAGGGAAGGTTATAAATGTGTCCTTTTTACCAGCTTGGTGTCAAGAATCCCTTTCCAGGTATCCAACATGAATTTGGGGGCATACCTGGGACACAAAATTTCAGTTATTTTTTTCTCATCCTTTAGTTTATTTTTTGACCTAAATACTTTTTATCTAACTTCATATTGAGCATCATGTCTAATAATAGAGGGTTAGATCTTTCAGCTCCTGTACTTCATGGGGAATCTAATCTGATGAGTTTTCTGTTACCTTCTCAGTGCCATATTTAAGCTAAACCCTGTGATGCAATTCTTTGGGCCTAATAATTTGATCCATTTTTAGAATATTGCTGCATTTACTTTTAGAAGGAAAGACTGTGCACATACCATTGCAAACAGGAAAAGAGCCAGTATGAAATACATTATCTCCTCAGGAATCATTGGGTAGCTGATCAGGAAAATGGTGGTTTTCTGTTTAGATTAAATCTCGTGGTACCACTCTTTGCATTACCACCAAATGAGAGAGCTGGTCATGAGAAATGATGCAGTAGATGACCAGACTAAGAAAACTAACAAACAATGTCATCTTTTGCAACTACTGTCATGTAACTGATGTTCATCATTCTTATTTAACTACGTCTGAGTCTTGGCAGCATTTGGAAGTCAGTACCTTTTCCAGTGGAAGATGGCTTCCATTAAAGCTCTCTTTAGGATATTTCATTTTATTCTATGTACCATCTTAGGAGAGAGCAGTATGTTCAAAATTTATTTGCTGTTTGTTCCATATTGACAAAGTTTGAATGAAAAAAAAAAATTACTTTTCCTGAGCTGATTAAAAGTAGTAAATACCTATATCACAAATAATACCCTCAATTGAATATAGTTTCAGATGGATAGATGTATACACATCCCACAGCAGATATTTCAGCAGTTTCATGTTAATTTCTTCTTCCTGGCTAACACAGAATCATTATTGTGGATACAGATGAAACCTCCTTTTTTACCTTTGCTTCCCTATTTGGTTTTCAGAGGCAGCATGGAATGCAAGGAAGTAAGCAAATACCTATAAAAAATTTCTCACCATGTTTCACTTTTTACCCAATTCCCTCATTTTTTATCCTTTTCCCTTTTATTTTTAAAAATTCATTAATTCCAAAGGTGTAATAGTTGGGGACATAAAACTTTGTCTTGCTCTGAAAGCATATTTTAGAGGGCTAAAAACCATTAAATTAAAACTTTCTTCTACATGCAGAATTATGTCTGTCCCTCTATAAGTGGCCATTCATTGATATTGTACTGAGTAACTACCACAGTGCAACAAAAGTAGCAACTGCTGAATAAAGTGTTCTTGGGTTTTTTTTAAATGAAGGTCTGATTACAGTTTAGAACCTGTAAACCTAAACTGGAGGGTGTTTAAGTATGAAAACAGGGTGGCAGGCTGCACACCCTTGCATAAGGGTTTGTGTTATTTAGATGCACAACTTTTAAACCATACAAAAAGATGCAGAATAATTAATTCTGAAGCAAAACTCCTGGCAGCTTAAACTCCACCATTAAATATAGACACATTGTTTTTCTGCCTGTGTCAAGGAAACTTGGAGTTGCAGCAAAAGCAATGATGTCAAAATGAAAACCAGCACCTACTTCCTCCTTCCTGAGGGGCAGATGATGCAGGGAATTAGCCACTCTTCCAGCACAAAATATGTAGAGTATGTCATGTCTGTCTGGTGCTCTGTTGTCTCAAAGATGTTATCTGTGGAATAGACTGGGAGCATGACCAATGGTTGGTGATGATGTTATACAATCTAAATGACCCAATGGATATCCAGATGGTTTTACTAGTACTCTCACATTTTTTTACTATTTAAACATTTGCTGTTATTTCTATTTTCCATGTTGTTCTAAGCTAAAACAGCCACTGTACACATGTTAAAGTGCTACAGTGTTTGTACATTCTCAAGGTAACATTCTAAAATTGTTATGCTACATTTAAAATGCAATTTAACTTTATGGATTAGAGCACATTCTGTTTTAATCAGTATTATTTTAACAAAAAAAAAGGGTTGCTTTGTGATTTTGTTTATATTTGGGTGTTTAATATTGTTACATTATTAGCAAGCTTGGGTTTCAGCGAAAGTGCTGATCATGGAAAAGCATGTTGATTTGAGCCACTGTCCTGGAAATCATCCTGGTATCTGAGAATGTACTAAAAAATAGGCTACTCTAACATTTCTAATTTACTTTATTTCAGGAAAAAAAAAAAATCTATTTAATTAATTATTTTTATTTTATTTGTGAAGCATGCCATTAAGGCTGACCAGATACGGTATCTGGATCCCTCTCATCAGCTGGCAGCCTTTTCATCCAGTGGGTCTACTCTGATTTTCATTTCAACACACTGCTAAATGCATTGCTCTAGAACAGTGCATATTTACATTTTTTACCCTTAATTTCTGTATTCATATATTTTTTTAAGGAAAATCATGTTAGCTGGAGTATGTGTTAGTGTCCTGTTGGTATGTTAGTATGTGATCTCATCTTCAACTCAAAGGTGAGGACATCCTCACTTCTAGGATTATGAATACATTATTCAGTGGTGGTGTTCATTATCAGTGATGTCTGCAACTACTACATGCCTACAAATTTCTGTCTAAGAATCAGTTGTAAAGTGGGGGGAAGGAAAGTAAATCTTTCAGCTCTGTGTTCAAATTTTCATGTAAAGTCAACAAAACCAGCAAAACCGCTCTCTAAGTAGCTCCTCCCTGATTGACAGTTCATCATACTATGACCACTAAAAAAATCTATAAAACCATGTCATATTAAGCAGGTCTTTCATACAAAAAGATGTAGAACTAGAATGGCCAGCTTCAGTAATTCTTGGATGAAGAAGAGAGTTTGACAAGTGAAAACCATTGAATATGCCTAAAACATGCTGGGGGAGGAACCACAGATAGTAACACATGGAAGAGTGACTGCTGCTAGCAAAAGAGATATCCTGGGTTCCTGGTGCTCTTTCAGTCCCAGATACCCATTAAGTCCACAGCCCAGCTCCATATGGGCTTTGGGAATGAGAAACTAGAAAAAACAGACTTCACTATCACAGTGCAATCGTAATGGTCTTCCTCTAGGTCTTTGTGCAGGAAATTATCTATGATCATTAATATGATCTGTAAACAAATGAGTTTTACAATTAGACCATACTGTTCCCTCAACTATATCCAGATGTTTAGCTAATTCTTTTTTAGCTGATCTGACACGGACAGAAGGTTACACATACCATGTTGTCTATTTGGGAAGTTTCAGCAATTACATGAAACAGTCTTTGGAAGTATGTAAAGACCAAGGAATAGTCAAGCAACTTCATGGAGAAGTCCAACCAGTTAAAATATCAGTCCAAGTGAAACATCAATAATGACTGAAACCACCATGAGCTACTGAGTTTTGACTTGGGCCTAGAAAACCTCAGTTAGCAAATGTTGGAATGCAGATAAAGGCTTAGACCGGAGAATTGAAAGCAGGCAGTAAGCTAATCAAATTTATGAATTATTTAAAGATGAAATGAAAAATTAATGTATTTCAGGAAAGGAATAATAATAAGAGTTTGATAAATTAAAAAAAAATTAGACTGATATCAATTATGTAGTTAAGTAAAGATATATTATTATCCATTGCTAGCTGGGGGAGGAAGGAGAATCTGAATTAGAGAGCTGGTGATGGCACATGCAACTGTCTCACTTTGAGGCTGTCTTTCCTAATCCGTCTGAGCCTTGTGCTGCCCAATGGGATCCATGAGGCAGCAGCCAGCCATGTAGCTGCTTTAGTAACGCCTGTCCAGAAGTGGATTTCCCACAAACGCGGTAAAATCTCTCTCTCAGTTCACCACACATTGGCACTTGTGTGGGCAGTTTTAGCCAGGAAAATTCATAGCACAGTTCTCACCTGTAAAGAACTTTGTCTTCACTTTAAAAACCTATCCACCCCTCCAGAATACTATGGATACTGAAGGATAAAAGAAACACTGAAGAGGAAAGGTGAGTTTGTTGGTAAAAAACATGTAGATAGAGAAAATAAATGCCAGCTTGGGAAGTTGCAGTCATCTGTAGAAAATGAACATCAGAGCTCACCTTTTCCTGTCTTCAGAAGGCTAAGCAACTGAACCTGCTCTTAGTCAACATGGCTTTTGGGAAGTTTTTCAGATTTTCCTGGTGTCTCACAGGCTGGATTTCCATCTGGATTTTCTTAACAGCTGACAGAACTTCACGTGCCATCTGGAATCTGAAGATCAGTTTGAGTTGTGTTTGTTTCTTGTGTTTATTTCTGGTTTGGAAAAACCTACCTAGTTTAAGAGAAAAGGATGGGACTCTTTCAATTGTATTGGAGGAATATCAAGTAACCAGAATGCAATTGTTTCAGAGACGAGAGACCATTATACACAGGTTTTAACTGTTCAATTATCTTCAGAGGAAACTATAATTGCTACAAAAAACTTTTAAAAAATTCTTTAAATTTCTTAATCTGTTAGATTTAAGTTTTATAGTTCTTGAAAATTTCTTGGTACAAATGAAAGTTATATACTAAGCTCTTCATGACTTTACAGGTTGCATGCTTCTAATGACTAGTAGGAGCTTCCTGTCGAGCCTCCTTTCGAGAACTGTCATTTGCATGGACCATTCTGGAATTAGAACAAACAGAGCAGCTCTGTACAAAACAAGAATAAATCATACCTGTGGCAATGCTTTTAACGTTGTTAGACAAAGGTAGTGGATAAAATTTTTGCGCAGACTAGAAAAGACTTTGAAATTCTTTCTGGGCTGGAAAGCAGCAATATTCCCATATATAGCACTCCTGATATTGTAATTTGGATTCTATTTTGTTGGCCATTTTTAATGGGAGAAGGAGGAGAATAGGAGGAGGAAGAAAGCACTAGAGTGAACAAGAAAAATACAGGGATTTACTGAAAATTGTTATTAAAATACCAGCAGATTGAAGAGACCCTTCAAAGTTATGTTTAATGTGGCCTAGGGTGAAAGTAACGTGGAAGGTCAGGATGCTGTAGTTAAAGAAACTTTCTTAAAGTAATGTGTCACTGTTCAATTCCCTGGATGTTTCTACTGATGAACAGAAACTTACAAAGAGTAATTCTTTGATATTCAAGGTAAACAGATTTTAAATTTTCTCCATCGGTGAAGAAGAGAACAACTTTAGGAAGCCTGCTTAATATTTTTGGTAGGGGAAGTTTTCAGTATTTACCAGCTTGGTAAGCTGGTAATGTTGCTTAGACATTTCATTCAGAAATTATAAAACACTTTCACATCCTTTGGGTTCCTTTTGGGTCAAAATTGGAAGGTGCCTATGTACTCATAATGATGAAAGGATGATGAAAGTGCATTAAAAATATCCAGACTTGAATTTAAAAAAAGAAAAAAAAAAGAAAAAAAATTATTTTTTGTTGTTTGGTTGCACTTTTTTGTCTCAAATTTATTTAGAACTATGAACATAAGAAAGCATTCCTCAGTTTCTTGTGATTTCAAACAAATCAGGTGTTATTGTAAAAGTGGTATCCATTTTTATAGAAGTTTTCATCAAAGGCAAAAGTTATTCAGTGGCAGAGCTGTTCAGAGACTTTTCCCTCTTCATTATTTCCCACACCTGCTTTGAAAGGATGCAGCTGGGGGAACAGTCATCATGCAGAGACCCACAAGCATCCTTTGCCAAGCCCTCCACCCAGCACACAGTAAAAGTGAGCAGTACCCATGTCATGACAGTAATTACAGCCGGGAAACTAATTCTTCCTGAGCTCTGTCTCCACGTTAGGCCTGACACCCACAGAGGCTTGAGTTACTGTTGGTTTTTTTGCAACTATTTCCTGGACAGGAAAGAGGAAGGGTTAGATATGTAGCAGGAAAGGCCCAGCAGGAAACTGTAAGTGGGAGTCAGGAAGGAAAAATAAGCATGGAAAGAGATTGTGAAAAAGGAAACAAAGGATGCAAAAAGTATGTACTGCTACGGGTGTTAGGATGCAATGTTTGGAAGCTGAGTGGAGTCAATTCGTATAATTGAAATTAAAACTCCAACCATTTATTGTTTTCTAAAGCCTAAGTTTAGGACATAATGTCTGAACTTTATCCAGTGGCCTGTAGGTATCAGAGCTGTTGGCTTTTCCAGTTACCCAAGATTGGCATATTGTTATACTAATAGAATTTTCTTCAGTAAAGCATTTCACTAGAATTAAGTGTTCTGTGGTTTGTGTTAGAGTAGGGCTATAATGTAAAACAGATGAGTCAAGTTTGCATACATGTTAATGTTGTGCTTTGAAATACATTGCAATATATTACTGCACATATTAGAAAAATTACTTCATTTCTCGAAAAATAATTAAAATGTTCAAATGATGTTACACATGAGGGGCAGCACATGTTCCTCAGCAGTGAGGCACAGCACACACCTTTAATTAATAGTGGGGGGAAAAAAATCTTTGAAAATGAATGTCACAGTTTAAAGATGAAAGAAGTTCAGTGATGTGATGTGCCATGGAACACAGAGTTCTGCATTTTTGGACACATGTTGTACATTTTCTTATGCAGCTGAAGATGTGACAATTAAACTTATGGTGGCTTAGCTCTCCATAAGTAAGGCAAGAAATGAGTATTCCCGAGTTATTTAAAAACTGTACCCACAACAGAACATTTGAAAGAGAAAAACTTTTGCAAAGCTTTAGGACAAGCTGAACCACAACAGGTGTATAGAATAGACTGTGGGAACATGTCTGCATAGGAAATCTAATTTGGCCATTACTGAGTGGCATAAACCAACAGAGATTACCCACTTGTAAGCAAGTAGAGCTGAAAAAGTATTTTTTGTCTTCTTAACTGATTTTTTTTTTCAGATTAAATTCTATGGTTTTTTTAGAAAAAAAAATGGGATAATAGAATTGGAACCGGAGTTGGAGCTGAGTTTTTGATCTCATTTACCTAAGGTTTGAAAAATGCTTTTCAAAATTTTTCCCTTTACTTGAAAAGATATTTGTTCTGTTTTCAGCACAAAAAAGGACAACAGGTTTCATCAACTGATACTGTGATTGTTCCATCACTGGTGAAATCATGATGGGTTTTGGTACTTTGTTGTATTGGACTTTGTACATCTATCTGACTCAATAAATGAGCAAGTTAATGTTTCCACACAAACAGATGTAAGTTTCATATTGAGTGTTGATAGTAAGAGGTGTTGAATGGTGCAGTTTCTGCTGGTGAAGGCTAAGAGCAGAGAGGCCTGCACTCACAGCACCTCACTGACGGTATTTTGAATGTCTAAATGAAACTGCTGTTTGGAGCATTGTGGAAATAGCACTGCCTTAAAATGATCTGCAAAGTGATCCTTACTGAGAAATGAAGAATTTCATAGTCTCAGCCTGCTTCAGTAATAAAATGTGTTTTTGTAAATAGGAAGGACTGGTAACACCATATGTCCAAACACAATGGAGCTGCTGGTAAAAAGCAGTGCTGCTTGTATTTGATTTTTGTAATTTATTTTTCAGTGAGTTGAATATTTTTGGAGAGGACATGTAGTCTTGTATCCCATGTGTCTACAATATTTCTGTGTGTAATAGGCTAGGCTCTAATTGTAGTGCCCAAAACAAAGTACCACAATCACACATAATGTAATATGATTGCCAGTACGGCATCCACAAGTGAATGTCAAGCTCAGTGAATCAAGTTCAGAAGGAACTGAGCCAATACTGAGCACTTTGGAAACTCCTAACTTAAACTTCTTTATGATAGAGGTGAGGGGAAGCTAGCTGTAGTGCTGGGCAAAATGTACTAAGATGGTTTGTATATGTAAGCTGCTGCTTCCATGATTTTCTTGAGGAGCTGATTATGGAGATACATAGCGCCACAAGGACTGAAGCTAGAGAGACATAAACTGAACCCATGCTTCCAAAAGCAGATTACCCATCACTGCACATGAAAACATATTAAAACACAAGCAGGAGAAACTATTTCACCATGTTTTCCCTGCCCTTGCTTCAGTTCTATAGCATTAATCTCGAGAACATTTTGATTCCAATGCATTTGCAGAAGAAACAGGTGGCATCTCTGCTGCATACATGTCCCTGTACCTGGTACAGTAAAGACTTGATAATCTTCCCCACTGTTTCCAGGCATGCAGTCAAGAGTCCTTAATAGCAGAAAGTCATTATGAGTATGTCCTAGAGAGGCTTGAGACAGTGCAGTGCACAGCAATAAACGTCTACTCTTTAATTTACTTCCGTGGACTTCATTTTCTTTATTTATCACATCCTTCTCGATCAATAAAAAAGACAAGGTTTTCACCATTAAAGAAATAATATGTAAGCATTTCTGTAGGATTAAACAATTCATTAATTTCATTTTCACAGCCACTAATTACCACCAGACTACCATATTATTTTGCATTATGTATGCAAACATGTGTCCTGAGAGAAATATCTCGATACCCACAGCACAAAAAACACACAATAACAAGAACTGCAGCCCATAAAATCTGAGATACCAAGCATAAACTTCTGAGGGGAAAATGTCAATGCCATTGTAATTTGGAAGATGTTGCCTTGACAGGCAGGCCATTATAAATATTTAAGTATTTCTGCAAAAACTACTGAAAAAATAAGATTCATTCCCATTTTCCATCTTTTTGTTTCTAAATTTTGTTCCCAGCACCTTGTGGTCAAAATGAAACCCGAGAAGATGGCAAAATAATCCAGCTACCTCCCTGCAAGACAGGAGCATGGATCGTTCCTGCCATCATGGCCTGCTACCTCTTGGTGGCAAACATCCTTTTGGTGAATCTCCTCATTGCAGTTTTCAAGTGAGTGACACATCGCAAAGTACAGACTTGGGGAGGATTCACATTGTTCACAGTCTACAAAGACTGCTGAGCTTTGGCTGGGAGACATTTTCCAAGGATGTAAGGGGGAGAGGGAAAGAGGTTTGTCTCCAGGAAACAGGGGAAATGCCAAGTTTTTCACATTGTGCTCATTTCCAAGGACAGACACCTAATGGGAAGCAGGGCAAAGAAGCCAAATAAGGTTCAATTATGGCATCATTCATTCCCAATAGGGAAAACAATAGTAAAAACATTTCTCCATCTCAGTGGGTTTTGGTACATGGGTTGTGCAGCACAGACATTTACAGTCGTATGGTACTTCAAAAAGGCTTATTATCACTGTGCTTTGCCCAGGCACAAACTTACTCTTTTGTTCTGTTTCCTGTTTTTGTGACAAGGAAACATTTGCCAGTGTTATTTAAATGTATCTAGTTATGATGCTGTCATATCATCTTTGGCAAAGCACCCAAAACCATTTTCAGTCTGATGTTATTTTCCTCTTCTTGCCTTCTAGCAACACATTTTTCGAAGTAAAATCTATATCAAACCAAGTTTGGAAGTTTCAAAGGTACCAGCTCATCATGACATTCCATGAAAGACCTGTTCTCCCACCACCTCTGATCATTTTCAGCCACATGACGATGATATTTCAACACCTCTGCTGCAGATGGAGGAAGCATGAAAGTGACCCGGACGAGAGAGACTATGGATTGAGTAAGACTCAGATAATGCACAGAGGGGACTTTACAATGCCTTTCATAGTGTCTAGTGATTGACATGCATGAAGTCCATGTCCAGCACTTTGATAATCTTCCCAGAAAAGTAACAGCTTTTACCTACAAAAACCTTACCTGAACAAGTTAGTTTTACTTGATTTGCCCAACCCTTCATTCTCCCTGCAATGTTAGGAAGGCTGTGTTTTTCTGAAACTTTTTTTGGGGTTGTTGCCCTGTTTGTTCCTTCAAAGCTTGGGGTTACTAGAGGTCTGCTGTTGCTGGAATACTTCTCACTCCATCACACTTTCAGCTTTACTTTTGAAAATACAGAGGAAACAGCACATACTTCCCCTGAGCGCCCTTTTTGCCTAGATAAGCTTAGAGATGGTAGAAGACAATTTGGTATACACAGTCTCTCCTTGACTCTGACTCAAACTGGAGGAGTAGGTCCTCAACATGCTTTAAATGAAGTTCCACAACCATGATGGAAAACCTGTCAGATTATTTTGATAACACTTTCCTCTTCTCTATCTGATTCCTCAAGGCAGAATATCTCCACCTTGCCCAATGTACATGCCAGAGGCAGGGAGCTAAGGGATGTGTATCTCTTCTCAGCATTAGCCAATGCCACAGCCCACTTCTCTGTGAGGAGGGAGCAGGAGTCACGTGTGGCACTGCAGATGCAACCAGACAGCTCTCCTCCCACTCCCATCACACTGCTGCCTGCAGATGTCTGTTCTTGCCACGTGGGACAGACCCCTGTACCCTCAGACTCTTTCCTAGTAGTCTGCTAATCTCATTATTCATCTCTTAGGTTACAGGTGAGCTTTGGCTTTCACCACCTGTTCAGGATCTGACCAGCAGCTGTGTTTAGATCTCATGTAATCAAAATACATTCACGTTTGCTCAGCATTTGCCTGCTTAAGTGCTTCTGTCTCCAGAAGCATATATAACTAAAGCCAGTAATTCAGTAATTAACAGTATTTATCTGCTTTCATTTCAAAATGTCACATACTTGTTTTTGAAAGTTTCGTCCATGAGTTTCACATTCTAATATTTGCCAAATTTGTATTTCTCAATTTTTTTCCACAGAACTTTTCATAACTGAGGATGAATTGAAAAAGGTCCATGACTTTGAGGAGCAGTGCATAGAGGAGTATTTCAGAGAAAAGGATGACAGATTCAACTCTTCCAATGATGAAAGAATCCGTGTCACTTCAGAAAGGTGCGCTTTTTTTCCTATAAGTTGATCTGGAAATGTGTGTCTGCCACCAGTTTCATTCTTTCATTTTTTCTTGAAAAAGGGAACAAAGTAGTTGTGGTAAGTCTTAATTAAAAAGTAAAGCTATGAAATGTGATGAGTTTATTTTCTCTTTTCCTGTTTGGCTTTTTTTTCTTTTTTTTTTCTGCTAAAGAAAATGTGTTGATGCCCAGGCTAAATGGGGCTCTGAGGAACCTGTTCTACGGAGAGGTGTCCCTGCCCATGGCAGAAGGGTTGTAACAGAATTATCTTTAAGGTCTCTTCCAACACACATTATTATATAAGTTTTTAAAAGGGATCTTTTATCCAGTTGTATTAAAGTATAACCAATGCAGTGAGAGGCACAAATTATGCTTGCATTTCAGTTCTTAGAGCAGAATTCCAGGGCACAAGTAGTCAGAACAAAATGGAAGAGTAACTTAGAGTTCCTCAATGAAAACCATGACTTTAGGGTTTATCTGTGATCCATTCAGATAAGAAACATATAAATAAATAAAGATAAATAAACATATAGGTAAAGAAGCCTTGTTTCAGGATAGCCTGGCTAGATAAACTAGTTTCATTTGGGCGAATAGCAACATGGATTTTGAATGGAACAAGACATTTCACCTACAGCAATGCACAGAGGAAAAAAGCAATTTTGGTGGTCAAAGAAGGAAGAGGTATGTTTGAAGACCTGTAAATAAGAAGTAACCTAGCTAGGTCCTCCTCTGCATCATACAAGTGCTGTAAGTCCTTGAAAATGACAACAGATCAGTCTGACTTTTTATTTTGTGCTGGCCCTGTTTTATAGGGTAAAGAGCCCTTATCTCTAATTAAAATCTTAAAGCACCTTGTTCCAGAATGAAGCTCATGAATATGAGCCCTAAATGAAGACAAACACCTGAGCCTAACAGAGAAATAGCTATTTAAAAATCAATTTACCTTAGCCAATAGTTTAATGTGGAGACTAGATTGCCCCAGCTCTCTAAGAGATAACCAGTCAGTGACCCTGTGGGCTACTGAGGTCACTTCCAAGCCCAAGCACTGGGACTAATAGGACTAATAGGACTTTAAGCAATGACATCCCAGCTGAATGCAGTTCTTATTTCATAATAGGTCTGAGAAATATTTAAAGGAGGAATCGGGGCTATCTGAGTATCACAAATAACACATTTTAGAAAGAGGATGCCTGGGTCTTTATTTTTCCTGTAGTCATGGCCAAGTCCTCTTAAATCTAAAATGTTTGTCTTGGTTCCAGCCAGGACAGGGTTAATTTTTGCAGTAGCCAGGAGGGGATGGGAGGACCCTGAGGTTGTTTGATACCACCTTATGTCATTGCCAGGGGCAGGGGAAAGGGACTCTTGCTTCTGACAAGGAGGGATTCCTTCTGGTTGAGAAAACATGATGAATGGAACAGTCTGGTGTTGTTCATTTTCAGGGCCTTTTCACTGTAAATAATTTCTTCTGCTGCTGCTTCTTCTCCTTCTCCTTCTTCTCCTCCTCCTCTTTCTCCTTACACCTTTTGTTGTAATTTTGTTGCTGTTACTGTTTATTTTCTCATTTCACTGCTATTTCCAGTAAGTTGTTCTTATCTCAAACTTTGCCTTTTGGGCCTCCAATGGGAGCAGGGAAGTGGCAGCATGGTTTCTAAACTGGAGAATACCATTCCTAAGCCATGACAACACTATTTTTTTTTTTTTTTGTAACCTGTGTACCTGTATTCAAATATATAAAATCCAGATTTGCACTTTAGAGTTTCTTTATAGAGTTATAAGTGCACAAGTAACAAAATGCAGAGCAAAGAAAGCAGAGAAGATATGAGACTACAGTTTCGCTTCCAAGACCAGTCATTACTCTGAAGTAGTAGACAAAGTATAACAACCATGTTAAAGACATGAGATACCAGTTTAGTTATCTGTCCAATTAAGTCAGCTTTATGTGGTGTAAAATTGAACCAGAAAGCCCTGCTAATGTGAGTGAAACTCTTCCTAAAGACTTCTCACGTGCAATAACCTAAACATGCTGTTAGGCTCAAGAATAAAGGGTTGGGACAAGCCCTGTGTGACTGCACCTGGATCTGGACCAGTCACAGCCTTCCCTCACCTCTGTGCATATGTGATAATGCTCCCCTCTGCTTGAGCAGCTCCTGCTTGCAACTGGGTTCATCAAAGTGCTCCAGGACCTGCTAGGAGGAGGAGCAGCTACACTCCGCATACAAAGCCTAGTACCTGGAATCAGGAGTAGGGGGCTAACGCTGGAAGGGAAATATAAGATGAGAACAGTCTTTCTTTGAGCCTCAGTGGGTCACAGAAACAGGTTAGGGGCTCGGGAAATCAAGAAGAGATCATGTTTATTGATGTATTGACCTCGGTGTCAATTAATTATTACAGCTATGCAGTCAGTGGCTGTGCTGGGGTAGGATGATGATTTTTCTGACTCACCTGCAACAAGCGTCAGTTTCCACTGACCTTGGAATAGTCCACCCTGGTATTCTGTGTGCCTGCCTCAGTTCAGGAATCTCCTTACTTCTCTTGTAACAAGGGACACCACAGATGTCTCCATATTTGATGTCACCAGACAGAATCTCTCCTTTACTTGATCACTTCACATTCAGAAACTGAAAGCATAGAGCAACAGTTGATGTTTGTCTTTCCTTAACTTCAAGTACTAAGTAACTCAGAGGAGTAGCTGTTGCTGGGAGAGTGGGAACTACAGACAAAGCTTATTAAAGAAGCCCTGCTTTTTCTGACTTCTGACTCTGATGGGAAGAAAGAACACCACTGTGTATTTAAACTCCTTCACAGAAAGGGGTCTAAATGAAGGTCAGTCCTTCCTTAGCCTCAGATTTTGGCAAGAGTTTAAATTTAAGGAATCACTTTGCCTGGCAAGTTCTAATGATGGCAAATCAGATATATTTACATAAAAAATAATTATTTATTAAACAGACAAAAGATAATAGATGAAAAATCTTAATCAGAATTAGTTACTCCACAGTATATAATTAAAACACTACTAGTAGATTACAGCATGAAACAGTGCACTGTATCAAAGTACCTATATTAAAGCTAGCAAAAGAAACAGTATTGATTAGGAGTCGAATGTAACTTACCACCAAAATGATGATAATGGACACAAATACTTTCACTTAACCCCTGAGGAATAACCACAAAGTAGGTTCCTACTAGCACGAGAAACTCCACACATTTTCAGGAAAATGCATACAAGATTTCTACTTGGTGAAGGTTTTGTGTGGCTTCTTTAGTTGTAAAGTGAGTGGCTGTCAGTCAGAAATTCAGCCTATCTTGCCAGATCTCACTTCAACAGTAAGAATTTTATGGGCAGTTGGGAGATGCCAGACCAGTGACCATGGCACCAAAATCACTCAGTGATTATGCAAGATAATGCACCGTGATGTACAAGACAGTTTGTCCTGTTTGAGTTATCTGACTGGCTAACAAACAGATAAGCTCTTGTGGAGGGTGAGATACTCTTCTACAGTAGCCCACTAGCTGGGATCTTACACAAGCCTGTGGAAGTAGCATCAGGTTACTGATACATATCCGATGTAAATTATGGACTGACTGGAAAAATATAAAGCAGTACAAGGCCGTAAGGTGTTTCCATTGAATGCATTTATCAGAGCATGCATGGTGAAACTCCTGGAGACTTGTGAGGAAAGCTAAGTTCGACAAATTCACTTCACTGCAGTGGAAGAATCACGACATTTTGTGGAGAATCTTCCTTTCTAATCAGTGTATTACATCTTGACCACTACAAAGATGTGTGTAATATGATCAAAAAAGACCACTATTTTTCTTGATCTGGCATGAAGCCACTGAAATAATCACTTTAGTAAACATTTGTTCCATGTGAGCAGGTTTCAACTCTTTCATATCTGTGCAAAACCTCATGCTGATTTAAAAAGGAGCAGGGTCACATCATAACAGTATTTGAAAAGCAGATAAGCTGGTTAGAGCAGATATTATTATGTCATCTTTGGTACTCTCTGGTATCCATTAGTACAGCACTTTATAATCTGCAGTGCAATTATATGTACAGCATCCATGTCGGTGATGACATAGCTATTATCTTGATTTCAGAGCTGTCAGGCTGAAGCGCACAGAAATAGTATTATGTTGGTACAAAGGACTGACCCTACCAGATCCACCCACACATGAAATAGACAGCAGGAAAGGTCTGTGATTCTGGTGGCATTTCTCTGCGGTCATAAAGGGTTAAGTGGTCTTTGTGTCCAGTAGCCTAAGTGGTCTTAAGCTCATGCAGCCATGACAACCCAACTTCCTTAGCCAGGAAAAATCTCTGCACCCTGGAAAACTGGCTGGCTGCTTGCATCATCACTGCTTTACCAAAAGATGTCAGGCAAAGTACCCTGTTACATGCTTGGGAACTGCTGTCTATGTTTTATTTAAATAAAACCATTCCACAATCACCTACCACAAGTTCTGTGGTATGTCCGTAAGTGACTTTGATGTCAACAGTCTTTGTGGCTGTTGAAAAGGATTTTGAAGTATGAATGATGTCTTAGAAATGGATCTAGGTCAACAAAGAGGCTTGTGAACCTAATTTTAGCATGTAATTAAGAGGTCTACTTCTGAGAAGAGTGCCTTACTCCCATTAAAGAATTATTTTAAATAAATTATTGATGAACTAACGTGCAAAGGTTAAAAATAAATAAACCAAAATTAATGCCAGCAAAAGTCATCATCTCCCAAACCATAATTAAAAAGTCTTATTGCAAGTAATATAAAATCCTTGCCAGGTTCTGAATTCTGACCTCATTACTGAATATTGTCCTGGTAAAGTCCACATTTGTTTCACTATTAGAAATTTTTGAGCTTCAGCAGCACACCTCGATGCTTGTTTGACATGTAGCCTCCTGTTTTTCTCATTCTGTTAGCATGGTTTGGCACTTTCTAATACATTGAATAAGTCTTGCTGCAATGAAAAGCAGAGGTGCAAAAAGAACATCATTGATGGATATTGTGAGACTTGCTAAAAGGTTTATACTTGTTCCTGAATACACACGGAGAAAAAAAAAAATCCTAAACAAAACTTGGGCATTCTTATTTTAAAATTGTGCTTTAATTCAAAACTATTCCTAAAGGAAGTACAGGTCAGGCTGTCTATTCACTGAGTGCAAGAGTATTTTCCCAATAATATGGTAAAATAGAAAAATTCACTTATTAAAACATTTTAGGGACCAGATTATGGTTATATTTCTCCAGACCATATCCTCCTATGTCCACAGTGTTTGGCCGATGTGATTTTATCATGTTTCTAATAGGTTCTCTCCTAGAACATGGTGTTGTTCTGTATGATGAATGATTACAGAACTGAACATCAAATTAGTACAAGAGAGTATCACTAATAGAATAAATATTTGTTAAACATTCTGCAGTAGCCATATGCAATCTATATAACTAAGGATGACTAAGCTAATATCTTTGGGGCTGGAGGAGACCATCATCTTTCCAGCTTTTGTTTTGTGAATAAAATTCCATAGTCAGGGCTCATGAAGTGTAAACACATGTATGTATTTTTCAGTTACCTATGCACGTCTCTGGTTACCCCTGGTTTCCAGACCCAGACTGCTCTGTGCTTATCTTGCTACATTTCTCTATAAATTTTCAACTATCAATGCAATCACATTTGTCATCAGTTCCATAGCAACCAACAGACCACGTAGCTCAAAAGTCTCTATTTGCCTTGTCTGACACTCTGTGCCACTGGCAGTAGCTGCTGGATCACATTCAGGGAAGGCAGAACAGATACATGAACACCTACCAGCGAGGTATTATTCCAGGTTCTCCTTGGGATGCATTAGTCATGTTCAGTAGCATTGCATAGCCCTCACATGAATGCAAGACACAAAACTTACCTCACTATGGACAGATCCTCTCATAAACCAACTGCTATGTTTGTATAAGAAATTATTTCACTTGTGTACAGTTGTCAAAACAGGAAACAAAAAGCAAATCAAACCAAAATAATAGCAAGAACAATAACAAAACAGCAAGATCACAACCAGATTATCCAGTTAGCTATAAAGAATGTTATAAATTCACTCCAATTCTTGGTAACTGTTGCTGGGGTGAAAGGTTTTTTGTGGGATGTAATCTGAGCTGTAATTGTCCAGTGAAATCCAGTAAATTTTTTCCACATGTCTGACAGCCCTAAAACTGTGATGTTTTATCTGGTCATCATCTTGGAGCAGTTGTTACAGAATGTGAATGTGGTGTGAAGGATTCAATTATTGGCTAATAAATGTTTCAAAAGTATAATTGCTTTTATAAAATAGCAGTTCACATGAGTGAAAATTCAACTGCTTCCCATATAAACTGCTCTCACTGTGGAATTACATCCTGTACTTGCAATAACATTAATCTGTTTTGTTGGAGAAGCTGGTAGAACTAGAAACAGACTGGTGCCTAAATGATAATGAGTAGAATGAGATTCCTTGAAGCTACCAGTTCATTTCTTAGCAGTGATTACTTGATCATTTGTCTATTGAAGATTGATGCTAGCAATACTGTTGTTGCTGCACATTTAATTTGTTCTTGTGCCTTCAAAACTCACAGACTCCACAGGAAAAGCCTGTATTTCCCAGGAATATGAGACTTGCTTTAGGGAGCTGAGTCACACTCCTCCCTGTCCTCTCCTCTGTGGCAGGTTGTGCTCATCACCACAAGGTAGTCAGACTTCAGAAGTTCTGAGCATTAGGTAACAAGGCATTAAGGCTGTCCAATATTCTCTGCTAAAATTTTCCCTTCTGTTAAAATAAGGGTGGTTATGGTGTTGTCAGCTCCAAATCACTTGTCCTCTTGAATAAATAACTAGCAGTAGTAGAAGATAATACTTACCTCATCAGAAATCCTGGCAAAGCTTTGTGTGCCTATTAACTATGGCAGTGTGCCTAGTAATATTTGAGGATAAATTGCACTAACTGGAAGAGAGTAAGGGACCTGTGATGGAAAAGAGTGTGGAAATTGTGCCATTTGTTATCTTTTGCCTATCTGATCGTTTTTCAATGTCTACAGCAATGGGGAAAACCAGAATTATAATCTATCACACAAAGATAACTACATAAACTTGTTGCCTTTAGTACTTCTTCAATGGAAAGTGGAAGTCCCAGTCTGTCATAGGGATCACAAACAAAGAAAATAATATAGAAGTTTCTTATGTGCTACAGGCAATTTCATCATGCAAAATTTTCAGACTCTATAAATCCAGAAGACACAATTTAGAAGTCAGAAAAGTGAAGTGGTTAGAAGCCACTGGCACAAATGTTTACGCAATTCCCTAAAATTTAGAAATGTTTTAAAATGTGATAGATCAATGGTCTAGAAAAGACATACTAAAGTTTAAATTAAATTAAATTTAAAATGTGATTAATTAAAAAATTGAATCTTACATTCAATTATTGCCTATTAGTATTTTAGTCTTTTTATTTATATATTATGATAGCAGCTGAAAACTAGCTTTAAAATACACCATTTCAATCCTTAAGCTATGAATGCAGACTACCCAAAGCACAATCACAGTAATGGAGCAATTTTAATGCATGTACAGTTGCAAGCTGCATTTGGCTTTATCAGTGTTTCTCCTCCTTGCAGTTTTTATGAATATTTAGCTCAATACTATATATATTCAACAAAACAGCTGATATATTTTTTCTACAAATCTGAGCTAAAAATTAACCAGAGAACAAAGAAACTATCTCCTTAGATCTACATAGGACTAGGTAGTGCAAACACCAGGAAAAAAATATAAAAATGCCTATCTTCTGTGGCACATTGCCTGCTCTCTTTACTTCATTTAGCTCTGCATTTAACTGTGATGGTCCTGCCTGTGGCACAACTGGGGACAACATCATGTGGCATCTGCTATAAGTGTTCTGCTATAAGTGTTATAATTAGAAGCTTTGGAAGCAAAGAAGGAGTGATTAATAGTAACATTTATATAATAATTCTCCTATCTCTGGAATAAGGGACACCCAAACCTCCCTCTGCCTTACACAGCTGATGCTCCTGGTTTAACCCACTGGAGCAGTTCCCTCAGTGCGTAGTATTTTGTTTTTATTTTTTTTTTCAAAACCCCCTTTTAGCAGGATTTGAAGCAGCTGAGGTGGCGTACATTGCCTTTGATGTTTGAGACGTATTTGTTTCCAGCTGGTTTGGTGACCTATTAGCTGAACATCACTGCTTTGTAGAAATTTGCCTCTTTAATTCCTCTCTTTCTAAAGGGTGGAGAACATGGCCATGCGACTGGAAGAAGTAAATGAGAGAGAGCACTGCATGAAGGCCTCTCTGCAGACCGTTGACATCAGGCTTGCTCAGCTGGAAGACATGATGGGACGGATGGTGACTGCCTTAGAAAAAATGACTGGCATTGACAGAGGCGAGACGACTAAGATACGATCCAGGACCTCATCTGACTGTACTGATGCAGCCTACATTGTGAGGCAGAGTAGCTTCAACAGTCAGGAAGGAAATGCCTACAAGCTTCAAGAGAGCATTGATCCCACAGGAGAGGAGTCCATGTCCCCAACGTCACCTACAATCACACCCCGCATGCGAAGCCACTCCTTCTATGCAACAAATATAAAGGACAAGTGTGGGCTGGAAAAGTTGGAAAGCATTTTTAAGGAGAGATCTCCAAGCCTGCATCGGGCAATCAGTTCCCACTCAATAGCTAAAGAAGGAAAGGCTCCCTTGCCCCCTACCAGCACTTTGTCAATCGCCCCAGACTCCAGAAGACCTTCATCTTGTATAGACATCTACGTTTCTGCCATGGATGAGATGCATTCTGACACAGAACCTCTTGACAGCTCCATAAATATTCTTGGTCCTGAAGATGCAGCTCTGCCAGCTCACATAGCCTCTTCTCTTTTAACTAATAGTGCATACATCAGCAGTACAGCTGGTGAAAAGATCTCTGGCAGGAGTCTTGATTATGAGGAAACTTCTGGAATAGAAACAAGAGCATTTTCTTCAGACTATTCACAAATCACAGACTGCCAAATCCCATGGGATTCAGACCCTCCCTTGTATCATACTTTAGAGCGATCTAAAAGCAGCCGTTACCTGGCTACAACTCCATTTATTCTGGAGGAAACGCCAATTGTGAAATCTCACAGTTTCATGTTCTCTCCTTCTCGAAGCTACTTCAGCAGCCTTGGTGTCCCAGTCAAAACAGCAGAGTACACAAGTATTACGGATTGCATAGACACGAGGTGTGTGAGTGCTCCCCAAGCCATTGCAGAGAGGGCCAGTTTCCCTGGAAGTCTCAGGGGCAAAGTGGAAGACTTGGGATGCTGTCACCCAGAGAGAGAAGCTGAACTAACCCACCCAAGCTCTGATCATGAGGATGTTGAGGTCAAAGACAAGAAAGGAATCCCCTTGTCTCCTCAAGACAGCAGTGCTCCAACAACTCTGCCCAACAGCATCCCACTCCCAAAAATAGAGCGAGCCAACAGCTACTCTGCTGAGGAGTCCAATGTGTTGTATGCACAGCACACACGAAAGAGCTACTCCATCAGTGACAAACTTGACAGACAGCGAAACACAGCAGGCCCGCGGAACCCCTTGGAGAGGAGTAAGCCCTCAAGGCCAGAGAGCAAAGGGGACAACCTGTCCATGAGGAGACTGTCAAGAACAGGAGCCTTCTGCAGTTTTGAAAGCAAGCACAGCTAGGCTTATTCAAAGCTCACCAGCAGTCTAAGGGTCTTCTGCCCTTCAGTCTGTTTTTCCTAGCAGAATTTTACAAAAGCCCTCACATCACCCCGTGTCAAGTCCAATCGGCATTAGCCATGGTCAAGAGAGCACACTTTCAATCTCAGTATCACCACTGAGGTACTGCATCTTGACCCAGTTGACGTTTGCACTTAAAAAAAAAAGGGAGGGATGAAAGCTTTACAAAACGTTCAGAAAACAAGAGGAATAACAAGCCCCCTTAATGAAGTCAGAAGAAGTAAATAAATAGGTCAAGATATCTGCCTTTTATTAGAGGGCATCCTAAGACCTTTTATCATTATTCAAGTTTTTAAAATGCAGGAATTAACTGGCAAAAAAGAGATGTACAAATTAGATATTCCAAACTTCAATCACAACTTCTTTTTCATCTATGTCACCATTGTGATGACTGGTGAAAAGCATTTGTTATTTCTGTAGGAACTGGCAGCAAACAAACCTAAAGTCTCCCAAGTCCCTTGCATCCCACACTGGTGGAAATGAAGAAAGATGAACACAGTAACAACTATAAATGTTCACTTGTCTCCTTTTGTATCAACTTCTAGTGCTACAGAAAGTTTATATTTTCAAGAGCGGAAAGGGAAAAGAAATGCCTTTTTTACTGCAACTTAAATGAAAGAAGAATTTATGTTAAAATATCAGGTGATTTCCTGTATAAAACAGGCATTCTAGATTCTAGCGCAGGTGAGCAAGCTCAGGATGAATGTAATTAAGTGGAATAGTATATATTTATTTTTTTACCACATTTGTCATCAATATGTTGTCTCACTAAATCAAAGGATGTGATGAAACAATAAGAATTGGATGATCAGAGAAGAGTGTAGTAATAGTGTCCAGTTCTCACTGCTCAGTTTAATTATATATATAAACTGGGGAGATTTATCCACCATGCTGCTACTAGCTGCATTAATATGAGCTGCCGATTCTTCACATCATTCCCCCACCTAAAAATATACACTTTTTTTTCATGTGAACATAACTGTATTTGGACTTTTTAAATTATACAGGATTTATCAAGAGGTCTGAATCCAGATTCATGTAATTAGACTGAAGCTGCTTAAAGGAAAGTATTTTTGGCAGAGGACTGGAAAACACTAGAATTTCTATATGCTTCTAAGGTAAGTAAAAGAACCAAAGTGAAACTGCAAGTGTTTGTAAACAGCAAAAGCCGTCAGTTGTGAGTAGGCATCCACCATTCATTAGCATATCAGACATTGAGCACTTCTAGTAGGAGAAAGTGTGTCTGAACGGTAGGGCAGTTACGGGTTTTGTAACTCCACTGATTCCACACACGTTCCAAGGGTCCACATTGTCAACCAGAGTTTCAAACTTCTCATGAGACAGTGTCCGGTGGTCACAGGTGGAAGGGTACACAGAAGACTGGAAAAGGGTGGAGAAGCATAAACTGCTATTGGAAAAACAATTCACATTCCTTTATGACAGCACAACTTGTAAGCTTTTAAAAAGTTGACACTAGTGCTATTAAAAGTTAAAATATCTCAACAGTTACCAACATCTGTGTAGAACCAGCTCATTTTTGTTATCAAAAATGAACATTTGTGAGTGGGGTACATATTTCACATTATTTAAATGTGAATTATCTTTCAAAGGAAGCTTTGAGAATACAAGCTGATGTTTCTCACTGAGTCCTCACCCTGGGAGATTCACAGCACCATCTGAGAGTTAAGTCCAAAAGGCAATTAATCCAGATGGAAAAATAATCATCGGCCTCAAGAAAAGAGGCAAAGAACGTGAAAACATTTAGTTAACAAGTCACTGCGTTGGAAAGTTCAGGAAACAAGGAAATGCAGCAAGGGGATGTTAAGAACAATGTGTTTCACTTCCTGCACCAACGTGTTCCTTGTTTTCTTCTGTTTGATCAGGCTTTCAGTGAACTAAGCTCTACCAAGACACCATGCTTATGCAATTGCCTTGCAGCCCATGTGCAGCATTACAGTCACATGGCGATACCAAGAAAGGTCAGAAACCTTTCTGTGCATTATGAAGCATGCTTTTGGCAGGCTGATTGTTGAGCAAAATGCCCAAGGGCAAAGGAACTTGTATTTAACAATATGCTTCAAATGTGCCAACCTTTAGTTAGCAGCCTTTTCCTAAGGCTTCTCCAAATCTATCTTATCTATGGAGAGAAGAGGGGGATATTCTTACTTCATTTTCTTTGTTACTTTTATGAATGTCTGCTAAAACTGTTGTGGACTCTTTCATCTTCATTGTATTACTGGTCTACTCAAGAGGAATCTCAGATTCATTAGAAATTCCTCAACAGTGCTTAGTGAATTAGTTCAAGGCATAGGCTTCTCCTCTGGAGTAGATTCCATTGGTTAGTTTGTCAGGGTTAAGAAATTTGCCAAGCCCAGAAGCTGTATAAATGTTTAGGATACAGCACCTTATTGATCTGGAGCACACATTCCAGGTAAAATGAAGCAGAACACTTTACTTACCTCTTAAAGTTTGCCATTATATATAACATGTAAATTCAGATGTTAAAAGTGTGATTGCAAGATGTCAGAACACTATTTTTCCTGAATGTTTCCCATTTATTCTACAATGTGGTGTCTGTAGAATATATTATGATGGATGTTAGATTGTCTTATTTTCACCTGGTTTTTACACATGGCATCAAACTGCTCCTTTTTGAATTTGATGATGAAACACTCACTTATTGCAATGGGACCAGACTTCCCATTCTCGATATTATGACCATTTAATGAGATAGAAGCCTCATCATCCATCATCATGTAGCTATAGCATGTGCCATATGATGTATTCTGTATCAAAGGATATCTTATGAACTAGACACATATATAGTTGTGACATGTGGTAATATTAGTGAATGTTACAGGACAGTTTTAATATCTCATTACATGGTCTTGTTTGTATATCTGTAACTTTCAATAAAATAGCACATGCTGCATCAAACATTAAGTTCCACTATCCAATTATTAGCTTACATATGGAATATGCATTTCTGGTCACAGTGTGTAAGTTTGGTATGTTTCACGCATTTCTTTGTATAGCTCCACTTAAATGTTTGTATGAGCTGATGTATAAACCTCTAATGAGCCACTGTGGGCTGTGACAGACAAGTTGTGATGGTGTGAAAGATGAACTGGCATGTTATGCAAAAGATTATAAGATAAATGAACTTTAATAATATTTTAAAACTCAACTGAGCTTAGCTGTTTGTTTACATATGCTGGTTGACTGAGGAAGCAGTGTGCAGTATTTTATAAATATTTTCCTATAGTAATCCATTTTGTTGTTTCCAGTTTAAGTGATTCTATTCTACAGTTGGGGTAAACACTTGTCTTAGGTATTGTATTATAGCACATTATTCTTTCACAATAACAGTGTGATATAACTGAAGTAGTTTCTGTTCCTTACAGTCCAGTCTTTTTTTGTGTCAAAGAAAATGCATGCATTGTTCCATGAGTTTCTTTGGACTGCTAGGAGACTTAACATTTTGCTATTGCCTGCCTGTAAAGATGAATCCAGTTAGGAATGAATTCAAACTTTTGGATGTTTACATTCTTTCCATTATTTTTGATCTTTAGCAAAGTAAGTAATTTTTTTATTATTTTTAAAAGACAACTGTATTTTATGAAATTTGAATACTCAAGATAAAATGCGAACCTACAGCAGTGCTCAGACATTTGGCTCTCTCTTTTTTTGGAAGAGATCAGGTGCTACACTATTTTCTTAGCACAAGTGCCAGTTAACAAATGGCAGTGAGGGGATAATTTGAAAATATAATGAAAAACCAAAACATCCATTCATATACGTACGGAAATCCCTCTGGGTTCCAGACATAGATTACCTTCTCTTTTTTTCTTTTTTTTTTTATTTTCCATTTATAGATTTTTTGGTAAAAAAAAAACAAAAAACAATGAAACTGATTTGTACCTTTTGCGGAAAGGATAGCCTTTTGTCAGGGGATAAATATCTTAGTTAGGTATATTTTTTGTATGAGAAGAAAATGATTCGTTTCTTAGAAACCGTCAGCGCATGGAAAATGCAACTACATGAATAACTGCTCAAAAAAACAAGTGCTGGTAGCAGCACACAGCCTTAGTCCAATGACTGCAGTGGGTGCAAGCCAGTATCTGTCCTGAGAGCAGAAGTTATCAAAGGTTTTAGAGTGAGCCAGTGAAACAAAATGCTCTGTAAAGTCATGGTGCAGGTTTTCAAGACAAGCATGAATGTCTTGTTATGTTGCTCAGGTTAAACGTTGAAGAGGATCTGATAATGGCCCGAAGGGAAAGCGTGAGCTGGTTTTTCCTGGATTTCCCTTGGAATGCTTAAGTAGTTGTGATGTTTTCCCCTGCTAAAAAATTATAACATATTTGCATTTTTGCACAAATACACATAATTAGTTCAACAAAGACCACATTTTTAGTTCTGTTGTGAGATACTAGGTATAGATCATCATTGTTAAAAAAATGGGTAAGATTCCTATCATGAAGTTTCCCTTCAACCACCTTAGATAAAATCACAGTCCAAACTGGGACAAGTGGCGCATTGGAGGGTGTCTGCTTACCTAGTAAAACCCTTCACATTCACTGTCCTTGCTACATGTTGGCATAGGAGCAGTAATACTGGATGCAGAGGAACTTTGTTTCTGCACCCTGCTTTATACCCAGTCATACAGTGAATGCTACAGCTCCCACAGGCTTCTCTTCTCCAGGATTGATTACATTTATGGTCTTACCCATAGTGGTGCAAATCTACAGAAAATCCACTGATTTCAGTGGTGCACTCTGACTTCTGTCAGGAGATGGATTTATTCTGCGTTTCTAACTCAATATTAACTTTGAGTCATGGCATGGAATACACTATATCATCTTCAAGTTGGAAGTCTAATGATGGAGCCATTGAGCCAGTCTGGTTGTGAAACAGTCTTTGACCTTTTAATTTTTGCTGTATGC